GCACTCTTGGGTTTAACCCCTGTCGGGAATCTGTTCCTTTTTAGATTTTCATCCCCAATAATAAATGGGACGAATCTACAACCTTGTTCAAACTTTCGTACATATTCACAAGCCGACATCCCATCTTGCTTTAACTCTAGAAAGTCTTGAATCTTCTTGGCCCTCACGTCCGCGGTAAAGTATTTATTATAGAAGACCTCATTAAATCCTTCCCAAGTTAAAGTCGGTACATCTACGATTAGTCGCGTGCTCTCCCACCATGTTCGGGCATCTTTAGTTAACAAGAAAATAGCGCACGACACTCGCCCACGGTTGGAAAACTATAGATATTCAAATATTGCCTCCGGAGACTTAATCCACTCCTCGGCTATCATTGGGTTCACTTCCCAAGTGTTAGAAATTAATAGGACAAGGTGTAAAAGTTATGGGTGAGTCATGAGGAAAGGTGGTCGCTTTGGGACCATAATGGGTGAGTTGGCCTTAAATTCATTTATTGCATTTGCTTAGGTGTCTACATAAAATTTAGACTAATAAAATCATTAATTAACTTAATTCAAGTAACTAAACCTACTTTCTTTCATAAAAAATTTGAAAATTTCCATTTTTAAAATTCAAAATTTCTTTTTTTCAAAATTCCAGCAGTGTTACCTCCTAACCCATCTATACTAAAATGTGCATAACTCTTTCTATATATATCCAAAAATTATGAAATTTTATATAGCGATATTACACACATATAAAAACAACTTTTATTCTTTAAGTTTTTCTCAAAAATCAATCTAACATCATCAAATAAATCTGACAAGATTCAGGCGAGTTCTTCTCTCGAAATTCCAACAGAATGCATTTTGAAACAACCCTCACCATAATGGATATAAATCTTAATATATAAATCCAAAAATTGTAACATTTTATACATGCCTATTCAACACATATATGAACAACTTTCATTCTTTAAGGTTGACCCAAAAATCACCCTAAAGTCCTCAAAGAATTCACACAAAACTCGGACAGAATATAGTCCTTAAAACACTAATTTTGCATATTTGATTTCTTTAATAATTAAACCATTAATCTTAAGCACAATAACTTTAATTTAACATAAATCACATATTTCAAGCATTAATTTCTCATGATGAAATGAGAATTATACTTACTCTTAATATACGTATATATAGAATGATTCTAATATACGTCACGTTACGGATAAGGGTTTTTACAAGGGTTGCGTCGATATGGGGTGAGTGAGTGTCTATAGGTGTGGGTAGAATTCCTTTCCCTCTCGTCTATGGTATGACTGGATGAACCGCTAGCTCCTTTTGGTACACCAAAATTGGTAGGTTAGGAAGCTCTCATAGCCTCTATCAAATCTTGTATGGCCTATTGAGTTTGGTTCCACATGAGCTTATTTTCATCCCGGTGTTGTTGAGCATGAGTTTGGATTATTGCTACATCGGCTTGTAGTTATTGAAGCTGACTCTCAAGGTTTTTGACTTGTTCATCTAAGGTTTTTAGCTCGGTACCTTCAGCCATGGTGCGAAAGTGCTCGATACCCCTTGTCGGGAACCTGTTGGTAAGAATTCCAAGGATGCTAAAGGTGATCCGATGCGAGAAGATTGAGAAGAGCACTGAAAAAGGAAAGAATAGGCAAGGGAGGAATAAAGCGAGAGAAAGAGAATGAGGAAGAGATCGGAAAAAGGGAGGTTAAGGAATAATTCTTGTTATTCAAATTATGAATCCTAATGATTACAATTCCACGAATTTAAAGAACTTCATGAATCCCATGTGTTACGAACTTGCTACGACTATATTTGTATCAAAATAACCAATTCCGTTATTGTAACAAACAAACGAGAAGAATTAAATAAAGGTGAATTGTCCATATTGCCCTTTAGCTGGTGATCTACTTTCTTTAGTTATACGCAATTTGGGTGGTCATTTTGGGTGGGTTCTTAACAATCCATCCCGCTCAAATTATCCTTGACCTCGAGAATTGAAACTTGGGAACCGGTGTGAAATGAATTCCGCATCTTCCCAAGTGGAATTCTCTTTCTCGGAATTCTTCCACAAAATCAACCATTTAACACCACCCCGATTTCCCTTCTTGTAAATTTTCCTATCTAATACTCTCTTAGATTCAAAGTCTTCCTTACTATGGCTAACTAGGGGTGGTGGCGGTGGGGCAATCGATGTAAGATGCACGGCCCCAATCTTCTTCTTGAGCAAGGAGACATGAAAAGCTCGGGTGTATAAAGTTTTCAACGAGTAATTCTAAGAAATAGGCCACCTTTCAAATTCTTTTGAGGATTTTGTAAGGCCCATAAAAACTAGCACACGAGTTTCGATTGGTGCGCTTGGTGATCGTTAATTGTTGGTAGGGTTGTAATTTAAGGTAGACACCGTCCCCTTCCTCAAAATTCCTTTCGACCTCTTCTTATCTACATGTGCCTTCATCCTTTCCCGGGTTATCGGTAGTTGTTGCCTAAGTAACTTCATCATCTCTTCTCTTTCTTGCGGGTGTGTCTTTACTTGCGGTAACACTTAGGGGTCTCTCCGATCTTGTTGAGTGGATCTGGTGGTTTGAAGCCATAGAGGGCCTCAAATGATGTCATCTTCGGGAGCTATGGTAGGTGGTGTTATACCACCACTCGGCTAAGTAAAGCCGGTTGCTCCACCCTTTTGGTTTGTGGAATGTCATACACTCGAGGTAATTTTTCAAACATTGGTTAACTCTTTTAGTTTGACCATCCGATTGTGGATGATAAGTCGAGCTCATCGGTAGTGTAATGCCTAATTGTGTGAACAATTCCTGTCAAAATCGACTAGTGAACACTAGATCCACGTCCGACACTATAGTTTCGGGAAGCCCATGTAACTTGTAGATGTTACGTATGAATTCCTTGGCTATAGTGGGCTGCTATGTAGGGGTAGGTTATGGTCGTAAAATGACTATACTTAGTGAACCTATCTACCATCACTATGATGGTGTGTTTTCCTTCCGATAGGGGTAGACCTTCGATAAAATCCATGCTCAAGTGTTTCCAAGCTTCCTTAGGTATAGGTAGAGGCTGAAGTAGGCCGAGGTGGGGGACATTCTCGGCTTTGCACCTCGGCACACATCACATTCCATCACCTCCCTTCTAAAAGCTTGTTTTATGTTCAACCAATAGAATAATTGTTTAGCTCTGTAATAGGTGGCTTTGAACCCCGAATGTCCACCATTGAGAGATGAATGTAGGTCCATGAGAACCTTTTGCTTGAGCTCCCTTGTGCTTCCCACATACGATCTGCCTCTATACCTTAATAAACCTTCGGAGTAAGAGTAGTGAGGTGGTAGTTTATCTGCTTGTAGGGCTGTCCCAATCAATTTCCGAGCTATTGGATCGGTGATATAGCTCCGTTTAACCTCCCTTAGCCACTCGTGGCTCCGTCACTTGTCATTGCCTTTAGTGCTCCGGTGGCTAGTTCAACCTCAAGTAGCCTAGATAGTGCATCCGCTGCAAGGTTCTCCCTTCCCTTCTTGTAGGCTATTGTGTAACTAAGGCTTAATAATTTGGAGAGGCTTTTCTTTTGTAGGTGGGTGTGTAGCCTGTCTGGAGCAAGTACTTTAGGCTATAATGATCCGTCTTGATGATGAAAGTGTTGGCTTCTAAGTAGTGCCTCCACTTGTCTACTGCCATGAGTATGGCTAGTAGTTCCTTCTCATAGGTAGACAAGCCACAGTTCTTAGGGCACGATGCCTTGCTAAAATAGGCTATAGGTCTCCTTCCTTGTATTAGAACCGCACCTATCGTCTGTGTCACTTGCATCGGTTTCTAAGATGAATAGTTCTTTAAAATTAGGCAAGGCCAACACTTGGAGCTGAACACATTGCTTTCTTGAGTCGTACAAAGGCTTGAGTAGCCTCTTCCCCCCACTTGAAGGCATCTTTCTTAAGCAAATTAGTCAAGGGTCTATTGATGTTTCCATAGTTCTTGATGAACTTTCCGTAATAGCCGGTGAGCCACTAGGAAGCCTCTTAGGGACTTGAGGTCGGTGGGGAGTGGCTACTCTCTCATGGATTGAACTTTGGTTGGGTCGGTTGCTACTCCTTCCTTGGTGATTATATGTCCTAAGTACTCCACTTGATCCACCCCAAAAGAGCATTTGGACCATTTTGCATAGAATTGGTGTTGTCTCGGTGTACGTAGCACGGCCTTGAGGTGAGTTAGATGCTCCTCTAAGCTGCTACTATAGATGAGGATGTCATCGAAAAAGACTAGTACAAAGACCACTTAGGTAGTCGGTAAAGACTTGGTTCATGAGTGCTCGAAAAGTAGCGAGGTGCATTAGTGAGTCCAAAGGGCATCACCTTGAATTCATAGTGGCCTTGGTGGGTTCTAAAGACTGTCTTTGAGATGTCTTCCTTGGCCATTCGATCTCCGACCTCGGATCTATTTACGAGAAAATGTTTGCCTTATTTAACTCATCCATTAGGTCCTCGACCAAGGGAATAGGGAACTTGTCCTTTATCGTAATGTCATTTAGCCCTCTATAATCCACACAAAACCTCCGGGATCCATCTTTCTTCTTGACTAGCGAGGATTGGAGAAGCAAAAGGGAAGTGGCTAGGTTGAATTTGAGAGGTTTGTAACATTTCTTTGACTAGTTTTTCCACTTCGCATTGTGGAAGTAGGGGTACCATAGGGCCTTAAATTAAGCTGGTTTGGTGTTTGGTTTCAAGGGAATTGTGTGGTTTAATGCCCTGTGTGGTGGCAAACACTTTGATTCTTCAAAAACATCGTGATACTCTTCTAAGTGGGAGGACAAACATGGATGAGTATCTCCTCCACTTTCCTCACTAATCATCATAAACATATGTCCTGTTACCCCTTTCAACTCCTGTTTGAATAGCTTCGTACCCTCTCGCCCTTTAAAAACTTTAGGATCCTTCTTCCTTATCGGTCATTAAAGTGATCTTTTCACTCCCTTCATGTATTGTAACTTCTCTACTTTTTAGGTCAAAATGTATAGGATTGAAGTGCTCCATCCGAGTCTAAACCAAGCACCACATCACACCCTCCTAATTCCAAAATCCTCAAGTCAACCACATAGCACCTACCCTGTATTACCCACTGGAAGTCCTTACATGTACACTCACTAATCATTCTAGCTACTGTCATTGTCGGTGGTGCGGTATACAATGTTGGTAGTTTCAATTCTCTAACTAAGCCTTTATCTATGAAACTATTGGTACTCCCACTATCAATAAGTATACTAATGCTTTTCTTCCCTACACACCCTCTTATTTTGAAAGCATTGGGGGATGACTTACCACTCAAGGCATGTAGTGAAATGCCAATGTACTGTTTCAACTGTGGTTACTTCCTCTGCGGCTAGTTCTTCATCCACCCCAACCTCGATGTCTAATTGCTCACCTTACTCCACCTCTTCTAGCATCATATGCAGCGGTTGCTTAAGCTTGCATTGATGTCCTGGATAATACCTATCACCACATTTAAAACACTTCTCCGGTTCCTTTTTAAAATCATTTACGTAAGTTATTCTGTTTTGGTAATCTTTTGGTGGTTATGAGTTTTGGTTTCGTTGTTATGCAAGTTGGGATATGTTGGTTTAGTGGCAATGGTCGGGGTATGGGAAGGCTTTTAGTTCGAGTGATGGAGTATGTTGGGTGGTTTGTTGGGATTGTGAATGGTTTTTCTTAGGGCTTCATTGAGCTTGGCTTGCTCAAATGCTTCTCGGAGGTCTGCTTGGTTTGAACCTTTTTACGGCTAGACTTAATCTTCCCACGACCCTCCTATGAACACTTTGACTAAGTACCTCTCGTGAATCCTGGATTCATCCTTTTCATTAAAGATTTCAAGTCCTCGATGAAGCCGGCTATGGTAGGTGGTGTTATAACACCAACTTGGCTAAGTAAAGCCAGTGCTCCACCCTTTTGGTTTGTGGAATGTCATACAATAAAGAACCCACCCGGAATTCATTTCGCGCCGGTTCCCAAATTTCAATCCTTGAGGTCAAGGATAATTTGAGCGGGATGGATTGTTAAGAACCCACCCAAAACGACAATCCAAGCTGTGTATAACTAAAGAAGGCGGATCACCGAGCTAAAGGGAAATATGGACGATTCACCTTTATTTAATTCTTCTCATTTGTTTGTTACAATAACGGAATTGGTTACTACGATACAAATATAGTTGTAGCAAGTTTGTAACACATGGGATTCATGGAGTTCCTTAAATTTAGGGAATTGTAATCATTGAGATTCATAATTTGAATAACAAGAATTATTCCCTAACCTCCCTTCTTCTACTATCTTCCTCATTCTCTTTCTCTCGCTCTATTCCTCCCTTACCTATTCTTTTCTCTATCGAACTCTTCTCGATCTTCCGCATCGGATCACCTTTAGTATCCTTGCAATTCTTACCAACGAGTTCTCGACACCCTTGTTTCGACTCTTCCTCTCTTTTCCTCTCTCTCTCTCAAAGAAAGTCTTTTTTTATATTTTTTTCCCTCTCCAACTCTCACCCTTGTCGCCAACTCTTCTCTCTACAGGCTTAAATCTCTTTTTTCATCCTAGCTCATCATATGCCTTCGAGAGGATCCCCACCCTTCGTTTCAAAATAACGAAATTCTCTCCATTTATTCTCTCGTTGCTATTAAAGGTTGTGGATCGTAGTGCATAGGGTTTGTGAGCGGCTATCTTTGGCAACTAAAAACGAGGGAAGGACGGCGAGGTAAAGTAATTTTTGCGGTACGCAAGCAAAAAGGTGGTGTTAGGGTGTAGGTTGGTTGGGTCGAGTGAAGGCGTAATTTCGACTTGTACTAGTGTCGGCAAGGCCAATTTATTTCAAGATGCTAGTTATCTTTTGTTGAAGAAGATGTTGAACAACAACGAACGAGCAAGGGTTGTTTTGGCGGCTAAAACAAAAGACAAGTCATTCAGCATTTTGCTTTTTAAATGAACCTCATATTTATGTACCTTTTTCAAATTGGTCCTCGTATTTTTTATTTCTCTTCCATTAAGCCCTTCAATTCATATTTCTTTGGTCTTCTACTTTCAACTTTGATCAATCAAATCCCTAATTGTCTTCAATTTCTCCTCCTAATCTTAATTATCTTCAAATTGATCCACTATCCTTTCAAATTATTTTCAATTATAAACCCTCCTCCCTCCTAATTTGTCTTCAATTTCTCCTACTAATTTTAATTATCTTCAAATTGACCCACAAATCTTTCAAATTATCTCCAACCTCCCTCCCTTCCTCTCTTTCTCGGGGCGTGGGTTTGTGCATGCGCGTAGAGAGTTTTGGTGCCAACAGGTAGCATGCTTGTTAGCTTCCATTTTGCGTCATTTGAAAATAGATAAATAAATACATACATAAGAAACTAGTAGCAAGCTGAAGCATTTCCAGAAACTTGAAAGCTCAAATTATACATGGAAAGAAACGTAAGTGAGATAATTCCAAGAAATCTAGCAACAAACGTTAATTGGACTTGCACTGCTTGAAGGGCATCATAGAGGGGTTATATTTCACTCCGTTAGACCATTGAAGCATGGACATGACCAACTCTACCATTCAAATTATCCATATCACCAACTAGAATAACAATTACCACTATGAACTCCTTCAAAATGGTCTGTTCAGTCTTCAATTAATGAGTCAAGAGACATGCTTTCTCAACGGCTCCCACCACCACACAAACTAACCAAATCCATCAGTGTTAAGTATAGAACATCCAGTGGTAAATACCCCAGGAACTTCCTATATTCAGACGCACCGTCTGCAATGTCCATATGAAGTTTCCTCTCCTCTGCAAAACCGTCTTCCATTATCAACCACCAGGAAATGCATCCTCGAGTATCTTCTGGGTCCACATGTGCCACAAGGTTAAGAATTTCACCCTGCTCCAACTCAAAGGATAAGCACAAAAAGTCACGGTTTGCTTTTATTCCCACTGCAAGTGCTTCCTCATGAAGCCAGCGAATAACCTGGCTTGCAACCTATCACAAGTCCAGGACAAGAAATTAACACATGGAGAATCAGTAAATCTGTGCATGTGTATGCTAATTGCCAGTCATTCTTCAGGAACAGAGCAAACATCAATAATGAAGGATTAAAATAACATGATCCAACAGAAACCCCAGTTGTCAAACCAATACAACATCACCTTCTAACATCCATTTGCCTAGGATTCTTCTATACAAATGCTTTGTTTAAGTAACTGAGATGCATGAATTGCACCACATTTATTTCGAAGCAAGAAAACACCAAACAGGAAACCACAGAAATAAGAAGAAAACAATAGAACAATAAAACTAGACAAGCTTAAAACAATAGAACATGATACAACTGCATAAATCATATAAAGATGGCATGTTGCATTCTTTTATAGGGATAATTAATTGAAACCCAGACTCTTCTATGGTTACTTTTTATTACAAGGTGGGAAATATGGCATTCCAAGCTCAATAACCACCTTTTATGACACATACTAAAGTTACCAAAAATTCTACTAATTGCCACCAGTGTTTCATTCCAGCTTCTTATATCAGAAAAGGTGTACAGATCTATCAACTGCCGCATCTACTACTTTTTCTTATTAGTCTAAAGTCTGCAAAGTTTTTACTTGGGGAAGCTCAGATCAATATAAACACAGGACAAGAGTCTAGTTTTGACTCCTACATTTATCCCCAAATATTATAGAAGCAGGAGACACAATCAGAAATCTTTGATATCGAAACAAACCTGCTGCAGGATTATCACAGGAAAATCATCCAAGTTGCAGTCATATTTGTTTGAGGAACATATATCCTCAGAACTCTCTTTAAATACTCCAACAACATTAGGGGCACCTTCTGCTTCAATGTTAATGCAATCATCATTTATCACAACCTTAGTCCGAAACTCTGATTTAACAACATTCTTTATGCTTTGGAAGTCCGGTGTCCGGGTTTGAGAGCTTGCATGGAGAATGGACGGAGGAATCTTCATGAAGATTGTCCACGCAGATGCCCGAGAATGCCAAGTGGGGTGAGATATCAGATGAAGATATGGCACTCTGCAAACCTGTAGAAACCAAGGAGAAGAAATTCAACAATGCATCACTGCCAAAAAAAAAAAAAAAAAAAAAAAAACTAAGTAATCCGTACATACCACGTTTTCCAACTCCATAAGAACTTTGTTTGAAAATATTCTATGAGAGAGAGACAAGCAGAAATGACTGAGAAGACCAGATCCATCATTTGCCGGTTGACTAGATATGCGAGTACCACTGGAAAAAGGTCTATCATTTGCTTTTACAAATACATACTCATGAAATATCTGTTTGAGATATATTTCACAACTAGTGCAGTTAGGAAAACATGGCTTTTTAGTACGACTGTTGTGCTTTTCTTCAGCTAACTTCACTCCATCCAATGAGTCTAAAGGTAAGACTGCAGATTCTAACTTCTGCGGGCCTTCACTATCAACTACCTGATCACCCTGATCAGATAGCACAAGGGAAACAAAAACAGAAATTCCAGGATCTATACACAATTGTAGATAATTTTCTTGAATTCCAGTAACATTGAGTCCAGATGATTGGTTAATTGCACCACAGTTCACCATATCAAACACCTGGAACCATAAGAACCAAAGGTACATAAACTTGAATGGATAAGCATCATCAGAAAGATAAAAGGAAAGAGAAGCTACCTGTTCATCAAAAATCGCTTGATGAACCTTACGAAGCAGTGAGTGAGTATCCTTCACACATTCGTTGTCACTTAAAGATTCTTTCTCAGGTTTTTTAGATGGATGCTCAAGTGAGCCATGGCTTTTAATCTTATTGGATTTCATTGGACCAGCATTAGAATGTCCACTGAGAAAACCAAAAAGAAGAGAATGGCAAGATTTCGAAGGTAAATTTATGGCTAGCATGCCATCTGAGCCATGATCAACGCGAATTGTTGACAGAGAAGATGGCCGGAGTACCGCAACAGAATCGTATAATGAATTATCAAAAAGGTCAATCATGAAGCCTTCATTGCCAGGAGCAATTGCTCCCACGCGCTGACGTTTGACTTTCCAGTTCTGCTGCAATCTATAGCATATCAGAAGAGAGAGACAATAAGCTTGCTGGTACTCCTTAAACTCAATCACATCCTCATAATAAAGTGTTTGAAAGAAGAGAAAAGCAAAAGAATATACTTAAATATCCACCATTTCTTTCCAGTATTATCATCATAACCATATAATGAATTCAACACTTGGAAATTAACAAAGCAGACACCTGATTAGAGCACCATAAAATCTTGCTTCCCTGGCAACTTGCTGTTCCAAAGCTCTAGCGGACTGCTTAAAATATTTACCAAGGTTCTTTGAAAGAAAAAATGGAACAAGTCACAAACTAAAAGATGTAATCAGAATGTCTTGAAATAAAAGGCAGCTTTGAAGAAATCATCCTATACAACAAGTCGTCCTTGTTAGCTGTTTAAAGGGCATACCCCTGGGCCCAATTTGTGAATTGAAAGGAATTGGAAGGAGAAGGTACAATAACGATACTGCATATCACCTTCCTTCCATACAGAACCCCAAAAGGGGAAGAAAAGAGGAAAAACATACCCGGTAGCATTGTAGCTTGGTTGCTGTTGATACAGCAAGGTCAGCCAGAATCTCATTGGGTAATGGTTTCGGCCTGGTCATCCCAGCTACAGTTACAGCATCATTAGCTTCCACCTATAAATTATTAAAAGGAAAAAAAGAGCAAACTAATTCATATACACATTTAAGGCATCATAATGCTTGTGAAGAGAATGTCAAACAAAACATACCAATACCAAGCAATGACGATAACCAAAACTCTTTATGCCATTAAACATAAGGTACAAAATATTCAAGAACTTTCATGCCACATAACAGGTTGCAAACAACCAGCACATTTTCAACTTTTACCAAAAAATAGCATCCACACGAACTCTAAATAATAATTTCAGTTTAGTTAATATTTATTTTTATCCTAGCTCCCAATAAAATGTAAAATTTTGTGTCCAATGTTCAATTTCTTAGCTTTCCCGGACTTCCTGAACAACACATATTCTACTAGCACAAATGCCAATCCAAAAGCTCATGTTTAGTCACAGAAATATACAAAGCACGTTACACTGAATTAATAGTTCATAATGCAGTCAGAAATATCTTCCTTAAAGTGCATATTCATCAAAAGATAATGGCTCATAAACAATTATTCAGAAACTGTGTAAAAATCAAAAGTAAATAAAAAGAGAATACAAGAATAATGAGTTGCAGATGTAATGATAATGACTCTCACCGTATTGATAAGATCAATAATGACAGAGAGTTCCTGATGAGCTAACTGCAAGTTCTCTGCCATGTTCTGCCATGGCCATGGTGTTGTTGTAGATGAGCTCTCTCTGGAGCCCTTCTTCGGCTTCTTCTGTTTCTTCTCCTCATCCTCTTTCTCCACTGCCCAAGCAAAATCTATTCGTCGAATGAGTGATACTCGCTTCTCATCATATCCAATATCACTATAACCACCAAAAAACACAAATGAAGAAACATTAATCATCGCTAAACTCAAAAATCTATTTCTCACTAGTTCCCTATAACTTCCTGGAACCTAATCGACTATGGAGTATAAGTTAACATAGAGAACTTGGAACTCCATGTTTGGTAATCAACAATCAAGTTTATCAGCTCTTACTGTGCTCAATGGAGTTAATCGGACATAACTTTTCATTAACTACACATAATCAAAATATAGATAACTAAGAAAACACAACTGAATGTAAATGAGAATATTGTGAAGGTGATAGAAGTTGCTATTTTTCTTGTATAAATATAGAAAAGCATAAGAAAAAGCGTACGTAGGAAAGCGTTCGATGCCATTTTCTTCAATGGATTCCAAGCGCTTGACAGGGAGCTTATCAAGGGACATTTCCAGCTTTCCATCCATTTTTCTCTCATGCAATTTTTCCAGAGAAAAATTACTATTGCTGGGAATAGTTAAGGGGCTCATCAAGTGGTGCAGGGTGTTCACTTCTTACATTCAGTACGTTATTGCCATTTATCAATCAGATGTGAAGGTGGTTGAAATGCATCAAAATATCGTTACACTGTTTCTATCACAACTTCACAGAGACCAAACTTCAACAAAATAGGCTACTGTTGATGCTCCACAAATAGCTCTACCTAAGACACAGTTCAATGAATATGAGTAGCCACGAACATTTTGGCTGCGAGGAGAAGAAAACAAAAAATGTATTACTATAATGGAAATCGGAGCAAATTACATAGAAATATGCCAAAAACAAAGCCAATTAACATATTACAACACAGTTTTTTGGGGCCTTTACAACAGTTTTATTGGAGGTGCGATGAAAGCTCTTGATAGGTATGCTCAGCTATTAAAAATTAACTTTGCAGTTTACAATTAATTCCCTAGGACAAGTTATTCCCTGCCAAAGAAATTGTGGACCCCATGTCCAACTTCGGCTGCCAGGCATAGATAAACCACCCCGCAAATTTTAAGGAGCTTCAATTTTGTCAAAAGAAAGTCACTACCTATATAAATTTTAAATCTTTATATTATGACAATTCAAGTTGACAGAAGTTAACTGTACGAAATACTTTACAAGTACAAGTATGTTCAATCCTCTTACTCTGTTCATCAGGTCTCACTCAAATTGCCACATAAGAAAGTAAAGGAAATGCATGTGAATAAGATTTGTGTGTGAATAAAATTGTAGTAAACGCATGCACCAGCACTGAAGCTAAACAAGCAGATGCAACAACATTGATTCCTTGCTAGAATTACACCAATTTTTTGCTGAACTAACAAATGACCTAGAAACAAAAATGAAAAAATGGAAGGTATGACGAACACAGCAACCTCAGTCTTACTACGTGAAAAGTGAATCAAATTTCTGAGAAGCATAAAATTTCATCTCAATCAAGGACCTAAGGAAGTAAGTTGAAGAATACTCATTATCATTATCATGATCTAGACTTGATATCACATTTACACACCCTTTCCACCCCCTATATATGTAAGTAAATTAATCAACTGAGAAAGTACTAGCAAATATCAATAGCACCCACATCCCAATCTCAAGATAACAGTGACAGAATTTGAACTCACAGTTTCAGTTTGAGCTCCAAATGGAACGATCATCTGAACACTTGAAAATTTTTCTAATTATTTAGGGCTTTGATTCAAAAGACAGAGAGAGATGTTAGCTTTGGGGTCCGAAGCCAAGGCTTTAGAACTCCAACAAAAGGAAACCGTTTTTCTTCTTTCTTTCTTTTTTATTTTTCTCTTTTTTTTTTTTTTTTTTTACTGCTTTAGAGTTTGATTTTGATTCCACCACCGACCCGAGGCAGAAGCTGCTGATAGGGAGTTGCAGATAGGGGTGTTAGTTCGATTATTTGGTTTGGTTTCGAAATTTTTTGACCGGTTCTCGGTTAACCGAATTTTCCAAAAAATAACCAAAACCGAACCGAATTATTATTCAGTCTTTCGGTTTGGTTTCGAAATACGCCAGTTTTGGTGTTCGGTAATTCGGTTTTCACCTGTAATTTTATATGCCTGAAATTATTTATCAATCCAATATGAATCATATTAAAGATTTTTTGTCTTAATTCACGTGGTCCAAATTTATAAGGGTGCTCGTTGGCAAATTGGTACATACATACATATATAAACAAAAGCTTCCCTCGTCAAAATAATATGATAAATGTGTGTGAAAACAAACTTTTCCATCACCTCTATCTATTCAAATAATATATTATCTAGTGGGTTTTGGCAGCTTGGTGGCTCTGCAGAAAGCCAAAGGACTCTCTGCTCTCTCTTTAATTTGTTTCTCTCCCTCCCTCTTCATCCATTCTCATCTCATTTTATTGAGAAACTTGCAATTACTAAAAGAGATGAAACTTTTAAAAGTATACACAACACAAGTAGAGAAACTTCTAAGGTTACTATTCTATTTCTGTGATTGGATATAGCAAATAAAATTTGGACACAAGAGCTACTTATACAACCTAATGTCTATTTAAGGAAGGAGACAAACAGCACAATAATATTATAAGAAGACTTTCAAGTAACATGCAGTCTGGCTACTACCTGCCAACCGCGAGACATTGTCAAAGACCTGCCGCTATAAGCCAAAAATTGAAAAAGCTAGCAAAGAGAATTGGTCCAGCAGCTGGAAAACTTTAGTAAAGGCCAGGGGTAGCTCCATTGTTGGCCCAATGTGCTTTGCTTTTGTAAATTGTAAAGCCACAAGTTGTATGAATTTGACCTTTAATTTTTTATTTGCACAGAATGAAATTATTCAGTCTAACTATTGCCTTACTACACACCAAGCTCTGCTTCAAGGCTTCTACTATAGCATCTTTATTAGCATCCAAAGACATTATCGGCCTAGCTAAAGTTGGAAGTTCAGATTCTATCTGATAAGAGCAACATGGAACTGAGATTACTACACATATATGACTCCACAGAATAGAGTATCTCTATATCTTCTAAGATCATGACCAAGTTGTTCAATACGAGAAAAATCAAGAACGATCACAATTGATGAATGCTTTCAGATGAATATGGCCTTATTATTCAAATGATTGGTTTCCCATCACATCAAGATAACATGCTAAATTTTCAATGATACACAGACAAATAACAACAGGCACATTATTGATGCCCAAGAAACCCCAGGAGACAGCACAAGCAAACTTGATGACATGTTAAAGTTTCTATGATACACAGATAAATAACAGCAGTTGGAAAGACATACCGGCCAGCGATCAAGAATTGACGCGGTGGACTTGGATTCCAGAACTCGTTGCGAGTAAATCGGAAGAGGAGGTCCGATTTTCTTCTACCTCTGAGTCTGATCGGACGATTGAAGAATGAAGATTGAGTGATTGACTGCGATTTGCGATTTGGAATTGGGAATTTGTGGGTGATTTTAGGTTTGGGTTTCTGGTGTGGCCGCGTGGGGGAGATTTTAGGTTTAGGTAATTAGGTTTCTCGTGGTGACTGGTGAGTGGTGAGCGTGCGTGATGAGGGGGAGGGGCTGAAGCTGTGACTCTGAGTCCGTGAGTTGCGACCGTGGGTGAGGGCTGAGGCAGAATGAAGTCTGGAACAGGAAGCGAAGAGAAGTGAACGAGAACGACGTCGTCTGAGTGATGAATTTAAAAAAATATATATTTTTAATAATTTCATTTATTCGGTTTAACATATTTTTTAAATAGAAAAAACCGAAATAAAAAACCGACTATATTTCTGTTCAATTTTTTTTTAATTTCTAAAAAAAAGAAGCATCGAATTGATATTTCAATATGATTCGATTCCATTATTTGGTTTTCACCGAATAATGAACATTGTAGAGGGAGTAAATTATAAATTAGTCTCTCTCACTTGAAAAATAAATTAATTAATCTTAAAAATTAATTATTTAATTTTTTTAATAAATATTGAACATTATTAATTTAATATTTTTTATTCCATAAAATATTTTTTTCATTAATCTTTTCATGTTTTTACTTTTTTATTTTTAAAACAAAAAATAAACTATATTAAAAAATAACAAAATATACTAAATAATTAGTTTCTAAAGCTAAAAAACTAATTGATTTGTTTCTCAAAACCAAAGATTTTAATTTGTTCACGTCATGAAATGGTTTTCATCATGTCCCGTGCCTTCAAAAACAAAGTCAAGTGCATGGTTTTCAAGAAAATAGCTAGACATGCTTAGGGATGGCAATTTGCCATATCCCATCGGCGCCCCGCCTCGGCCCATTTGAGGCAATGATGGTACTCAAAATTTCGCACCAAACGGGACACAAGGTTAAGATGTGGCGAAATTTTTTGAAGCGAGGATGGGATGAGGATGGCTATCCTCACCATGTCATTTTGCCTTTAGAAATGGCAATTTGAAAGAGCCCGCCCCGCCTCGTTTCGATTGGGGATGGTACTCAAAATTTCATCCCAAACGGGGCACGGGACGAGGATGGAGCAAAATTTTTTAAGGTAAGGTGGGGGCGGAAATAGCCACCTTATTGCCATCCCTAAACATGCTCAAAGTCATAAGGAACATACTATAGGAATGATCCGGTATACACTCTTGAAATGTTCAATCATGGCACAAAAGAGAATGATCTAGTTTGTGCTCTTTGTGGGCATCATAGGTTTCACGAAAAAAGTCAAAGGCTCCACGGGGAAATGCTTGGTGCTTTTCATGATTTTTTATAGTCATGGTTTTCATGGAGAGCCATATGCATTCTACAAGGTGCGTCCGATCATAGAAAAAGTTTCTTAAAATCACTAAAATGTATTTTTTTGCATCATGCACATCCATACATTATTACACTTACTGAGCATAAGCTCACTAATTGTCTTGTGATGTAGGTAAATCAATAATAGGTAAGGACAAAGTGTGAAGTTGATGATGAACTATGAAGGAGATGAGCTTGTCATATGTGTACTATAATTATAATAAAGGTTTAAACCTATTTCATCTTTAATGGTTTTGGTATTTGTGTCAATATAGAATGAGATTACTAAATAAATATTTGATGTGCTTATTAATTAAATTAATGGTTTGATAGGGTTAGTTAAATGGTTAGATGAAAGAACTTAATTTAATAAAATGAGAGTTAGAGTTTAAATTAATAAAAAGGTTTAAATCGGGTAAAGATTAAAATATTAAATGTTTTAAATGGGTTTAATTGGTATGGAATAATTAAATAAAATAATGTTTTCAAAATCAAGATTAGCTTCCAAAGGGTTTAACAAAATATTTAGCTTCCAATGAGCCAAATTAAGGTTTTAATGAAGCTAATTAATCGAATATGTAACCTTAGAGGTTTTCTATCAAATTGGAAGAATTAATAACCAATTATTAAGATTAATCAATTAGTAGAATTTATATTTAAGTGGTTTATTAAAGTAAAGGACATTAAAGTGATTATTTTATATTAACATATAATTAATTAATTCGAATTTTATAAGAATAATTGGAGAAAACTAAAGAAACAAATTGCTTTATTTTAATCCAAAGTATTATATTAAAATGTTTAAATTGAGTTTTATGTTATAAGATTTTTTTTGACATATTTTGGCATATATATTCGCAAGTTTTATTGAAATGAATTAATAAGTTGTAATGATTATTTCTATTAAATGAATTTATTTTGGAAAAAATCTATACCTAGTTTTAAATAAATCATGAACCTAAATGGTAAAATTGAATAAGCTTCGTAGCAAATAAGAATTATTTAGATAGACAATGTCACAAGACTTAGTATCTCACGATCATTGCACCAAGAATATAAAGTACTATCGGTAATACTCTCGATTTATTTAGGTTTTAGATCGGGGGTGCTATACTTGCAATTCATGGGTTATTGTCAATATTGCAACCCTTTCGTTTTGATTATTTAATCTTTTAGATTTTATTTCTTTTTAGTTTAAATTTGGCATTTTGATTGTATATTAACACAATAAGCGGAATTATCCGTTTAGATTAACCATTGTTATGGATTATTGTCCTTGCAAACTTGCAATTTAACAATTTTGAATAGGTCGTGAGCCCTTACCAATAATTTGTAGGCTGATTGGAATCTTTTTAATTTAATTTATTTTTTAGATAAAATATCAAAATCTTTGTTAGAATCAATTGTAGTATGTTTATAATAATTAATTTAGTTCATTTACCTATGAGTTTGGAGACTAAAATTTTCTATAGACTACTATCCAACCATAATTTTTTTATTATAAATTATCTTAGTTAAGGTTGGCATAAAAGAACCCAAACACGTGGTAAATTTATTTTCTATTCAATTTCTAAGATTTTTGAAAAATAAATAGTAAATTTTCAAGCCATTTTTTGCTCAAAAAATTTAAAATAATATCAAATTGAACATATAGACACATGTTGCATATTAAATTAGTAAAAAATTACTCATAACAGTGTTATAGACTTAGTGTCTTAATTGTGAAGAGTATATTGTAAAGAGATTCTATTAATCATATTAGTAATACAAGGATCCAACTAAGATTGTAAATAGATCAAATCTTGACCTAAATTCAATATAATTAAATGGATCTGGTAAATAAAATTTTTTAACTCGAGTCCGATTATGATCCGAATCTTTTATTAAATAAATCAAATCCGAATCTATCCGGATCCGATTAGATAATAATTCAACTCAAAGTTAAAAATAATGTTTTTTTAATAAATATAATATTTCAATTATATTAAAAATTTAAATATGAAAAAAATATAAATATGAGATTAGTTTGAAATTTAGAGTTTGTTTATTATAAAGTTCAAATAAAGTATATTGTTCCATAGTGACAATTGTATTTTTTGTTTTAAAAAAAAATTCACATATAAGTTTTTTGCTATTTTCTTAATTCAGCTTTGTTAAGAAAAACCTATGGTATTTCATTAACTTAAGCTCATTACATATCTACTCTTTATGCATTAACTAATTATTAAAATTATTGTTTGCTCTTTTTATTTAACGTGTGCATTTTTTCTATAGTTAGAATTGTTATGGAGTTGAGCAATAAATATATATAAAAGTAATTGTTTATTTTGTTTCAAACTTGATAGTAAAAATCATAGCATGTGAAATTGACCTTCTTTTTTTTTAAAAAAAAAAATGAATTGGAACCCATTATAGTATTTTAATGTGAGAAATAAAAGTATAGCTCAAACTAATTGAGATAGTAGGGGTAGATAATAAAGTGTTTTGCGTGAACTCTTATATAAAACTTAAGTTTCTAAATTATATCATTGTTTTTTTGTCATTTCATTTATTGAGAAGAGCTGTAAAAATAAATAGTTGAATATTAGAATTTAAGATACTAAAAAACTTGTATTATTAAGAAATAAAAAAAATATTAGATTTAAAAAAAAAAGTTAAGAAAATACAATATTAGTACTTATTTAGTTATGTGATATTACTAATATTAGTAAAGTGAATATACTAAAAAAAATTAAGTAACTTTTTAAAAATATATAATAATATTAATAGATTTTTTGCTTTCTTTCTTTATAGGCCTTGATTTGTAGCACTATTATTTTGAAATCCAAATTAACAAATATTGATTTTTTCACTATATAGACAAGAAATAAAGATTATTTATTAGTTTTTTTTAATCATATTTTTTATTTAGTTCAAGATAAACTTTTATTAGGATTATTTGATTTTGTGCTTTTGAATTATATGACATTTTGATTTTTTTTTATGAAATTAATAGATAATATATATATATATATATATATATATATATAGTGATTGAAATATTTTTTATATTGAAAAAATATATTAAATATAATAAATATAAAATTTTTATAAAAACAAGTGATGAATCCAGTAGAGTTCCGTATCTATCAAGATTCAAATTCATTTTTCGAAAATTGGATTCGATTTTATAATATTCGATATAAGTCATTTTATTAAATAAATTGGACGTGACTTTACTATGATTTGATCATATTATAAATCCAACTAATCAAATATAATAAAGGGACATCCGGTGCGATTAAACCCGCATCATTACGGATGGGCTCTATTTCATAGTGTCTTCTTCAAAACTCAAACCTCGGCAAAGAAAAGGCAAAAACTCAAAAGGGAAGGGAAGGGAAGGAGGGGACAGTAGCAGTGCAGCAAATAGATCCCCGTTAAAAAGATATCAATAAAGAATCAATCGAAATCGGAAGAGCCGAGACTTTTAGGCTCCGTTAACAGACAGATTTAAAGATGGGGGAGGAGAAGAGGCACCAGATGATGCAGAACTTGTTCGGCGATCAGTCCGAAGAAGAAGAAGAGGTCGATTCCGAGCACGAATCCAATCCCCAGCCCAATTATGCTTCCGTAAGTAAATACTCAATTCACCTTTCTCCTATTTTTATTTTCAAATATTATGGGATTTGTACCTGAATTTTTACTGCTAGGTTTATTTATTTATTTTCTCTAACCCTGCCTGCTTAGCAATGCATTGCGTTGCACTGTTGCTCGATTGAACTGCATAATTGAATGAATAAGAATGCTCTGAGGTTTTGCTTGGATTTTGTTAGGGTTTTATGTTTCAATAATTTTATTTTTGTGATGGTTTCCTTCCTCCTCAGGATGAAGCTGAAGGAGAGCTGAGGAACGAAGGTGAAGTTGATGTTGATGGACAGGAGGATGTACAAGTGGAAAGTGAAGGTGAAATGCGTGAAGTAGATCCTGATCCTGGAGAAAGTGAGGGTGAGAGAGAACAAAGTTCCCAAGAGGTAGATATTGGTGATCAGAGGGATGAAAGTGATGTAAAAGATTCCGACAGTGATACTAAAGGAGAGTATGGTCACAGAGTGGCTACCAGCCGCAGACGCGATGTAATTGAAAGTGGGTCAGAGGAACATCATTATGTTGATCATGAAGATGAGGAAGTTGATCAGGCTACAAGCCCAAGGTTATTTCTTCGTCCTTTTTCTGTCATCCAGAACTTTCTACATTCTGTCTATTTACTATAAACCTGTGGGATATTTAACTTTGTAACAGTAAGTCACCTGAGGAGGAGAAAGATCAGGCTCAAATTGCACAATCGGCTCCTGAGATTCGTGATGTGTTTGGTGACTCTGAGGATGAAGACGAAGATGCGTATGCAGTTCATAATGACATTGAGCAAGATTCAAATGTGAGTATTCCATGTTTGAAAACATTTTTGTCATATATGTTAATTGCTTAGTGCTCCCAATCACACTAATGGCTAGGATGACACATATTGTCCTCTATCCTTAGATGTCTCCCATGGAAGTGGAAGGAAGCTATGAAAAGGACCTGAGACCAGAGGATATGCTAGCTGATGAAGATGCTCAATATGAGTCAGAAGAGGAGAACCTAGAGGCTAAACCTAAAGAGAAACCACTTGCCCCCCGTTGGAGATAGAGATGCCATTTCGGCTACCTCCAGCTGATCCAAAGAAGGTATTTTCTTCTTTTTTCAATATGCTTCCAAAATGTTAACTAAAGTTATCACTATCCATCATTTCTTAGGTGCTTGAGTTCATTGTTGCTTGATATGCATGCATGGTATTTCAAGTTTCAATAGCAAGTAAATTGAAGATAGAATCAGTTGAAGTGGTCTGCTGGTCTCTATTGAAAACAATTTGAAAGTCGCCTTTTAGATTTTAATAGGATCACATTTGTGCATCTCCTTTTGTTTTACAAAGCGTCACATTTGTAGAGCTGGGGAGTTTTTTCCCCCTTTTTAAGATGCTTCTGGAAGAGTTTTGGATTTGTGTTTTGCATTCAGGTTGGGCTCTTCTTGTTTTTGGAGTTATCAGTGTTGCCCAAAAATTGTACATTGCTTGTTTATCATTTATGGTTTCTGGAATGCTTTTCAAATTATATTTTACATGGAAGAAAAGCTTCCTGATCCGTATCAGTAAACCTGATGGCTGGTTAATTACATGTGGTTTCTAAAGTTTTAGATTTTGGTCATTTTGATCCATGTGCTTAATTTTAGGGGTGAGAACCTTCACACTTACAATTTCTGGTCAAATACCACTCATGTGGATGCCTGCCATGTTTGCCCTGGATAAAGGGACTATGTGACCATAAATCAAAAGTTTGAGGGTTAGCATGCCCAAAGTTGTGGTACATGGGTTAAATGATCAAAATCTAAAACTTGGGAAACAACAGGTGTGATTTGCCAACCTGATGGCTATTGTTGTCGATCATGTTTTCAGTTCTGTCCTGCTTCAGGTGCATAAGTGTTCTGACATGTGTTGAAATGTTTAATGCTTATTTGTAGATGAACATGATTAAAGTATCCAATATTATGGGCATTGACCCAAACCAATTTGATCCTAAGACGTACGTGGAAGAGAAAACATTTGTGACAGATGAATCTGGAGCTCAAAAACGAATTCGCCTAGAAAACAATATTGTACGATGGAGGACTGTTAAGAATCCTGATGGCTTGAATTCCGTGAGTAGATTCCTTTCCTTTTTATCTTCTTTTATTTTTTGAATAGTAATTAGATCCAACTAGAAACCTTTTACATTTGTGTAGGTTGAAAGCAATGCACGCTTTGTGAGATGGTCTGATGGTAGTTTACAGTTATTAATTGGGAATGAAGTTCTTGATATATCGGTGCAAGATGCACAACACGATCAAACACACCTTTTTCTCAGACACAACAAGGTGACATCTCAAGTCTGTTTTTATGTGATTGAAAATGATGATATCCCCAATCCTTTAATCTCCTTGTCTCTCATTTTGCCTACTTAGAGTTGGTCTAAGATCCTAACAGTATCAATGCATATGCCTGATTTTTTGACATATGAATTTGTTGAAATAAATGGGAAATGGCTGCAAGTTAAAGTCCTTGATTTTGGGACTTAGTGTAGTTGTTCTTTTTACGGGAAGATGATGCTTCTAGATATGTGGTATTGCTTAATATGCTGTAAAGTCTCTGAAAATGTGGTCCTTGATGGTAATGCTATTTCTTGCGGAAGGATTTCAGATTTGAAATTGTTTCTTGTGCCCCCCTTCTCTCTTCTAAAGGCATTTACAAGTTTATTAACGTTTTCTCGTTTTCTTCTTCTTTTATATATGGGGAGTAACGAGGATTTTCTATCCTAGAGTCAGAATGATAATGAATAATATGGCAAAAGGGTCAAAGTTGATTGTTGGATGGAAGCTGAAGTTTAAAAATTCCATGATGGTCTTTCTTTTTTGTGTGAATTTTATAGTAGTAGTGATGCAGGCAACAAAAGACTAAGGTTTATGTGTTTTATTTAAATTTTAGAATGCAATGGTATTATAGTAATTTTCAGGTTTGTTGAAAAATCTGGAAATTGTCTACGTCTAGGTTTTATTTTCTCTTTATTATTTTATTGGTCCTGAGGAGTAATTAGCTTTATTAGGTTTTTCCTCTTCTACAGACTTATTATTTTCTTATTTAGGAATCTAAGTCCTCCATAAATAAACATGTAGTCTTTCAATATTTTAGAATGATGGTTTATGAATGAAATTCCAGTAATTTGCTTTTGATTGTGTGACTCAATCTCCCTTAGGTGTGACACCTAAGAACTCTAGGTGTGAAGCTTAGGTTTTTCTATCCTCTAGGTGTGACTCCTAGAAACCCTATTAGTGTGACTGTAATATTTCTACAATTCCCAACAGAAATCCACTTTAATACAACCCAATACAGCCTTAAACAGCCTCCAAAGTCAGATCCTGAACAGCCATTCCTGACTTCATTTCATGCGTTTATTTACATGAAAAGTTCAGAGTGAGTGCCTCTTGGTGTTGGATTCTGGTTACAGTCCAACATTTTTTGCCTCCCATGATGATTTCCTTTCTTAAAACTTGCTGCTTGCTTCTTGAGGCAAAGTATTCTTTATCTTTATGTCTTGGTAAACAGCACACAAGTCTGATTCTTTGTTTGGGGAACTGAACTGTATCTGTACTTCAGTCACTTCTTCAATCGCAAGGAAGAATATTAAGGAAGATGAGGTTTATGCCGTCATCATTGTCATCAAATTCTCATAGGCTATTGACTGCTCTTGTTGACTCACGCCATAGAAAGGTTTATAAGGTTAAGAACTGCATCACCGACATTGATCCTGAGAGAGAGAAGGAGGAAAAGGAAAAGGTAACAAGTTACTTAAGGTTACAGTGGCTAGTATTGGGGTTGTGGTATCATGTTTTCTAATTTCTGTTGCCCATATGGTTTTGTAGGCTGAAAGTCAAACAATAAGAGCAAATGTACTTCTCAACCGAAAGAGGGAAAAGGTGAACCGGAAATATACACCAACTGTAGAGCGGAGGCGCCAACTATCGCCAGGATTTTTAGAAGGTGCTCTTGATGAGGTCTGCACTTTCCTTATGCTTTGCTTAGCTATATACATGTATGTATGATGTATATTATATTTTAATCATTAGGTGTTTGTGACTTATATCCCATCATAATGTGCTCAAGCAGTCTGCTTTTGAAAAGCAGAAATGTTTTTTGTATGTTTCTGGACTTTGTTAGAATCAATCAATGGCCATTCTGTGGGCAAATTTAATTGAAAGTTTTGCCTACCCCTTCTAGTCTTCTGATTCTACTGCTTCGATCAGGATGATGAACCAGATTATTATGACTCTCGTCATTCTCACCGCTTTGAGGAAGATCTGGAAGTTGAAGCTCGAGCAGAGAAACGCATTATGAATGCTAAGAAGGTCTTTTAGCCTTAAGTCAATTAGTATAGTTTTTGTTTTTGTGAAAATTCCTTATTTTATTATTTGTGCTAATACCAATAGGGACACAGAGACATGCTGCCGAAGTCATCTATGTCTTCTGTGAAATCATCAAAGCGCCCAGTGGATTTCTCTGACAGTGAAAGAGAGGAATCTGAGTATGAAACTGATGGGGATGAATATGAGAAGTCTCCAGTTCGTAAGAGGGTTGATGAACCAGAGCAGGAATATGAAGAAGAGGAAGAAGAGGAGGAAGAACGCTACGAGGAAGATACAGAAGTTAATGGAGTCTCCGAGGAGGAAGAGGTATGTGAATGTATTGTACTATACTTGTTTCAAACCCACTGTGGAGAGAAGTGAGTATGCAAAGTGTAAATGTTGCCCAAAATTTGGTACCATATTTTGTTCTTGCTGTCCCTTGAATTTAAAAGGCAAATGATGTAATCCTTTCTTCTGTCTCCCAATTTTATGAGAGTTGGAAGGATGGATCCTATTTTATATATACTACACAATTGAATTGTTGGGTCCTTGATAAACTTTAAACAAAAGACATATTCATGTTGTCTAATACATCAGCAGTTAAGATTCCATGCCTATTTACTAAGGGGTTGCGTAACTTTGCTGCAAGGTTTGTTTAGATGAAAATTTTCCAATGCTTCCTAGCAAGAAAGAATGAATTCAATTATTCTTTATTCACTTAAGGCTGATTGATGAATGCAGAATCAGCATATTATGTCCCAGTACTTGATGTTTCCAGTTTCCTGGCTGTCTGGCCCATTCTGCCGCCCATGTGATTGATCAAAATATCATTATACTCTATACAGTGAGCCTGAAATTGTGAAAGTGGACACCTTAGGAGTAGAACTAAAGCTTATTTTCCTTTCATTTTAGTGATACAGCCCAAATATTGATAAAATTTGCTATCATGAGAAATTTGGTTACATCGAGATTGGGAAGGACTTCTCTGAAGGATATGTAAATTACTCCAATGGTTTTAAACATTTGATGACTGATATTGAAGACATAGTGAAACCCAAGAGACTAGTCCTTGGATATGGTAAGGCTGCTATTTAAATAAAAAATAATGTGTTTGCAAGATGGGTAAAATAAAATGATTTGCAAGTGTCCTTATCCATTCTAGATTGTAATGACATTGGCATGTGGGGAGGATTACTCTTCTGTTGCTATCATGGGTTTTTTTATGGTAGTTTTATAGTAATGATGCCAACCATAACTTCCGGTTTATAGTTTTATTTGTATGATGTTGAAAATGATAATTTCTAATTTTTTCAGTTCATCTTTTTTTCAGGAGCCAAAGCAAAAGGGGAAGGAATTTGGTGGCAGTCGCAAGAGGGTGGGATTTGAGTCAGATGAGGATTCTCCTCCAAGGAAGATTCAATCGGGTCGTCGAATGACAGTGGTGTATGATAGTGATGAGGAATGAAAACTATGCTGAGATGAATGTGATGTGAGTGAATATATCCCTCATCATCTATATGTAATTTTTTTTCTGGGTAAATGATGTAATCTATTCTTATATAATTGGTCGAGTCCCCAGTATGTCCTTATCTTTTGATTGTGTTTTTTATGTTTTTATATTATATTCAATTCTCCAATATATCATTTTGTTAAGTTTTTCCATCCAAATTAACATAATTATTTTTTTTTTCATTTTGAAAAAACCTTTGATCTATATGAAAATCTAATTTTAATTATTCGAATTAAAATTAAAATTTAGTGTTTTTTTTTAAAAAAAAATTTAACGGTCGAGTAATTTTGGTGCATTTTATTTCTTAAATATTTTAAGCAATTTTGAGAAAATTTTCTATTATGTCCTCCTTTAAAGTACAATTTTGATATATATATATATGGAAAAATTTGTTTTGAGATATGTATTGGAGAATTAAATATTATATGTAAAATACATACTAGGCACGATTAGAGATATAGGGACATATTAGAAGCTTGTCCAATTATATGAGAATAGATTAAACTATTTTTTGTTTTTTAATTTTAATTTTATGGTGTTCTGTCTCATTTATAGTTGAGGGTTTTTCCTTTAATGATAGTTTAATCGTTATGATGAAAATTATAACTTTTAATTTGTAGTTTAATAGTTGGGGATATTAGCTCTCTTTTTTTACTTATAATTTCGGCTTAGTCTTTAATATGTCCCTTCAAGTCTAATTGCTCTTATTTTATTTTTATGTTTTAGGCATTCTCTAATCTATGCTTCTGGTAAATATTTTTATCCAAACGGATGGAAATGTCCTCACATGAGAAACTTAAACCTAACCTAATATATATATTAAAGAAAAAAGAACAAATTGTCATGCGATATTCGAATTCACTTTTTTTTTTTCATATTTATTTATTTACAATAAATCAGGTGGGATTCAAGTTTCTCCTATAAGGATATTTCAATTAGTTTGTAAGGAAAAGTTTGATAGAATGATAGATTGGAGAATGATCATATATTTAGGAACAAATTGAGAGTAATTAGATTTATTGGGACATATATTGAAGACTTGGATTGAAAAATAAGGACAAGTTGAGTTAATTTTTCTAGTAGTTATGATGAATAATTTTCAATTTTCTTGCTTTGATCTTTTTGCAGGAGGTAAAGCAAAAAGGGAAGGAAATTGGCTGCAGTTGCAAGAGGATGGGGATTGAGGTAGATGATGATTCCTCTTCAAGAAATATTCAATCCCATCATCATATGGCAGTGGTGTATGATAGCAAATGCAAAACTTACTCGAGATGCATATGAGGTGCATGAATATTTTTCTCGTGCATAATTCTTGCAGTGTTCGGTCTTGTTTATGTTGGACTTTTTTTTTTTAAGTAGTAGTTTGTGAAGTATAGGAAAGGTAGCTTGGTTGACTTAATTGTGGCTGCAATGATAATTTGTTTCAGTTTCAGTTTCAGTTTCGTTTTCATTTTGGACCTCATTATTTTTATGTCTGTCTAAGTCGTAGCTTAAATATATGTGGAACGTAACACAATTTATGGTGGAAGAAAATATGCCTTAATTATCTCGTCCATTACACCATCGCATTGCACAAATCACACCAAGCATAGGTATTCTGAGCATATGTAATCAAATGGTTCTAATACATAAAAGTAGCTAATGATAGCGTCTGAGTGGGGCCTTGGCCAGGAAGAGTTTGTTACACATCACACTTTCAGTGATAGTAAAAATTAATGTGTTTGGACCATAGAGTGAAAACTAAAAATAAAATGGTCTACTAGTTCTGACAAAGGGAGTTGATAATATAGTTTGGGAAGATAGCAGTCGCCTTAATGTGTCTTTTTAATATGCTACTATGGGATAATTTTTATGCTAAGTCTAATTAAATGTCTAATTTTCTATCTCAATTACTGGTCTTTTCTAACCGGTTCTAGGTGAGATGATTGGGAGACACAAGATTCAATCTCTCACCTAAATGGGTCATTGAAACTCGACTAAAAACTCAATTAAGGTCAAAATTAGGACGTAAAATGCATTGCAAATTAAACACTAAAACTCATACAAAGATATATTAAAAACCAAGCAAAATGAACATGGACCATAGGTCCAAATTTACCTGCCATGCTATGCAGTAAAATTATGAATCCAAAGCAAAAGTCTAAAAATATAGGTCTTAAGCACATATATATCAGCCATGCCACTTTAAATTAACAAAATCAAGTTTAAAACCCAAGTTAAATGAATAAAATCAAGTTTAAAACCCAAAACCAAGTTCAAGAGAATCAAGACAATCAGTAGTATTGAGAAAAAAAAAAAAAAACTAAACCAAAATAAGAATAAGAATAAGAATAAGAATAAAAATAAAATATGATGATGATAAAAGAGACCCATAATTGAAATAAAGTTAGTCTCGGGTCTTAAACCTAATACATCTAAATTGACCTAAATTGACCTCACATCAAATAAACACGAGTGCAAACATAATAAAATTGAACACGCAAAGACCACAAATCATGAAAAAAATGACTCAATAGAAAATAAGATAACCAATTAGCCTCTCAAAAGTCCTTAGCCTATTTAATTTATATTAGTCTATTTTATTTTTCCATCATAAAAAATAAAAAATGCTAGCCTATTGCTAGCTTCATATTGACCAATTGTTCATCATGGACTTTTTATATACAAAATAAAAATACTATGTAGTATGTCAAACCCTTACCCATTTTTATTAAAATAATAATAATAATAATAAGTAAATAAAAATAAAATTAAATATAATTATAAAATAAACTAAAAACAATAAGAACCTTACCCAATCAGATCAAATTTAAGAACACACCAATATCATAAAAATTTTGAATTTAGAACCCTTTTAAATATGTCAAAAATTGCAAAGCGTAGCAAGTTTTGATTTTTTTTTCAATTTCACCCTTTTAATCAAGATGTTTTAATCTTATAATCATTTGAATTCCATCTCAATCAATAAACTAACAAGAAAAATAGATTAACCAATCTAGTAATCATGCAATATAACAAAATTTGGATGATGACTAAATTAAAAATAGAAGATGAAAGGGTGTAATTATCAAAGTAAGAGTTTTAGGGACCAAATTGGATAAAATTGTTTGCTTTGGCATCATCATGCCAATAGGTGTGAGATCTCCGTTAGTGTAGGTGCCCAAGATCCAACCATATTTGGATGAGTTTGAGTTATTGTATCATTGCATTATTTATAATAAAAAAGTCTTTTTATTAATTTTTGTCATTTACCTTTATTGAATAAATAAAATTAGATAAAAGTCCATATAATATGCATTTGCATTAGTGATTGATTGAAAGATATAAAGCAAACATTAATGCACATAAATGATATCATTAAATATCCAAATTCGTAGCGTTGTTAAGGATGGACACTAACTATATGCGGTTGGACTTGTGAGCACTATGCTCATGCTATACGATAGTAGTAGGAGATCTCACACCTATTAGCATGATGATGCCAAAGCAAGCACTTAGATGATTTATGTTAGAAAACATATCAATGGACTTGACTCGCTATGAGAACCTATTTGGCTTAGTCTATGAAAATCTCATATGAGATATGTACAACTAGTCTTTAGACTTGAAGTTATCACGGTTATCTCATTAGAGAATTTATGCACTTTGACACTCGTTTTGATGGACTCGAGTAAAGAGTTGCACATGGACGATTCATTGGGTGCACTAGGAATCTAATAGAAGTAGGTGGATAATTAAGATAGAACATGTCATTTCTTATATGCTATAGGAGTTATCACATTGCACTTCGATGAATGTACGCCAAGAAATCTATGACCTCGGTAGAAGTACACTAATAGAGCATAGTTGGTTTACTATAAGAGCTAAGACATTTGAGAATTAAAGAAAACTTATGTGATCATAATCAAACAAGACTTATAACCAAGTTCGAGATCACACTCGTCATAAGTTAACATGAGGAATGAATTGTATTGTAACCATGCTCTTGAAAGATAATAATAGATTAATTAATCCTCCTAGAGATTGAATATTTTTATTCATAATATGGTAACATTATGTTACCGGTTATCTAGTCAACATCTAAAAACACCAATGGTCTTGGCCATCGAGTCATTAAATTTTAGTAGATTATCATCATCATTATCATCAAATCAAACGAGTACTTAGAGACTCACCCTCTAGATTTGGTATATGCACATTGCACTAGTTGACTTGACAAGTGTTGTAATAATCGAGGCTTCAAACCTTCTCATGTATTTGTATGTATGTTCATTTTTTAAAAGTGTGTGTATGCTATACTTTGTGTGGATTGATGAATGTTTGACTTTACAAGTTCATATTGCTAAGTGTTGTGAGTGTGTGGATGACTAAAGGACTCGAGTGTGATACTTAAAAGATTGAGGGCTTAAGTGAATTAAGTGACAAAGTAAATTGACTAGTTTGTTAGGCTTTTCAAACTCGAGGGACCTAGATATATAGCTTGATTAAGTATCTCATACATGTATTAACCTAAAAATAAAGCTTGATTGGTGTCTTATACATGTGTTAACCTAGGAAAAATATCTTGATTAGGTGTTTAATCTAGAAAACTCTCTTGATTAAGTGTCCATACAAGTGGTACTTTTAAGTTCCTTAGATCCTTCTAGTTTTGGCTAAGAGAGAAAGAAAATAGGGAAGAGTTGCTAAGTCATTTTTGTGATGTTTTAACCTTGGGAAATATAAAAACAATAAGAGAAAAACTAGTTTGTTAAGGAAAAACCAATTTTGGCCGAGAGGAAGAAATTGGACAGCTTGTGGTCGAGAGTGAAAGCAATGGAGAAAGCTAGGATCTTTGAGAGCTTTTAAGGTGTTCTTAACACTAGTTAAACCCTAAAATAAGTGTAATCTCATCTTAACTCATCACAAGACATAGGTGTTATAGGATTGATGTGTTATCGGATTGTTGAGCTTATGTGTTTACTTGATGATAGATTACTTATGATGTTGTGTTTACTTGATGTTACACCTTAAGTGATGGTATGTTTACTAGATGTTTAATAAGTGTATTTAAAAATCAACACAAGGTATAAGAGTTCTAGGGTTATTTTATTCATGAGGTTACTTGATCATGGAATACTTTTTAGGATCACTTGATGGTTTCGAGTTAAATGTTTACTTACGGTTACTTGGTTTTATGCTCACGTGTTTATTAGATGATTGAACACTTGTGGTGTTACTTGACAATTTTGGATTATGTGACTACTTGAGGTTACTTAGTTATGTGTTTATTTGATGATTGGATACTTGTGATGTCACTTGAAGATTTTGATTCATGGGTTTACTTTATGTTACATGGCTTTGTGTTCATATGTTGGTTTCGGGTTCATGAGTTTCTTTGATGTTACTTAGTTATATATTTATGTGTTTACTTGAGGTTTGCATTCTAATTGCTTCTATGCCATAAAATTTTTTTTATCATGATTTTAGGCATTCAACGAAAGGTCATGTGCATTTTTCAAAAAAGGATTGCAAGGCTCATGAATAGACGTGTTTAGCGGGGAAAGAGGGCATACAAGGAGAATGACCAACTCTTTGTGTTGTTTATAGATGGAATACATCTAGTTCATTAATATTTTTCATAAATGATGGTTTTAAATGAGAGTTGAATCCATACATTTAACGAGTTATGCTTAAAAAAGGAAAATGAAGTTTAGTATCATGAACAATGTGTTTTCTTACATTCATGCATGATTACACTTATTGAGCTTTAGCTCGGTGTTTATCTTGTGGTGTAAGTGAACCAAGTGATGCATGATGGCATGGTGTGACGTTGAGGATGCTACCATGAGGAGCTGAGTTTTCCAAAGTGTATATATGTATAGGTTTAAAATTTAAAGGCTAAACAATACCTAGGTTTGGTCACTTTTGGTTTATAAACTCATGTTACATTTTCGTATGTCAATATGTGTGTGTGTGTGTGTGTGTGTATGAGTTTAAAGGTTTATGAAATGATTTTATGTTTTGTGAAACTTGATGGTTTTTAATATGCTTAACCAAAGATGCCTTAAACTTCAAACCTAAATAATTTCTTGTGCACTTGTTTGTTAGATATGAGGTAGAGGACATAAGGCTTTGCCTTGCATTCTTCGAGTGCATGACATTGTCGTAGCACTCTTAGCTTCCTTTAGTTGAGGGTGTTACAAGAATTAGTATAGAGCAACGTGACTTAATGGACCTAAATAGCACATGCAAACTCGAGCTCCAACAACATGGTTAACATGTAAGTGTTTGATAATTATGAATCATGTTTACTTGATGAATTATATAAATATTTTTGATACGAGTTGAACTATCTAAATATGTTTGAGTGTTGATTTGTGAACTAATTTCATTCGAATTGGTGCGTGAAAATGAGAACAATAGACCAAAAAGAAATCATAGTAGTTGGAGGACAAGTAAGAGGGTTATCAACCAAGATGAGAATATTGAGTTTGTGGACAATGAAATTTGGCGGAGCAAATGTTTGGGTTGCTACGACGATAGCAAAAATTGATGCAATAGGAACAATAGAAGCATGACGAATAGAAGAAATTTTGATGACCATACAACAACAACAAATGATAGAAAGGCCATTACGACGAGTCGACGTAGTAAAACGATTCAAAAAGTTTAACCTAAAGGAATTTTTGAACAAGTCTAATTCTATGGTTATTGGAGAATGGATAGAGTCTTTAGAGACGATTTTTTACCACATGGCAATGGAGGATGCGGATCGGGTATCTTATGTCATCTTATGTTGGTCGACGATGTAAGGATATGGTGGGAATCAACCAAAATTTCTTTGGATGTGTCTATCCTTACATGGATGCAATTCAAAGAGGTTTTCAATGAAAAATACTTTTCCAATAGTGTGAAATCAAAAAAGATACAAGAGTATATGAAGTTAGAGCAAAGAGACATATCAATGGTAAAGTATTTTTGAAAGTTTGAGTATAACTATCGGCTTGCAATTTTTATTTCGAGAGTTATCGCTCAAAAGAGAGGCCATTTTCTAAGGGGTTTGAAACTAGAAGTGTGAAGTCTAGTATGAGTGTCAATGGATAATTATAGCGACATGGTTAGTAGAGCATTAAAGATAGAGAAAAACCATAAGGAGGCTCGTATAACTATAGTAATCTAAGAGGTCGTATCGTTGTAAATAGATTTGGTGTGCAAGCTGCTAAACAAAATCAATTTGTGAAAAGATGGCTGAACAATGCTAAAACTTTCGAGGGACGAGTAGAGGATAGAAGCGCAAGGCAAATCGAATTGCATTAGATGTGGCCAATCGCATATCAAGGATTGTTTGATTGGCCTTATGTTTGCTATTTTTGTAAGGAGGTTTGACACTTTGCAAATGATTGTCCTAAAAAGAGGCTCGCTCCAAAAGAATCGAGGATGATGTACACGATGATGTACGAACAAGCCGAGGAGGAGCATGCACGAGTGATATGTGATAATGTTCTAATCCTTAATCTTACTACGCATACTTTATTTGATTATGATGCTACGCATTCTTTCATATCATGGTCTTTATTGAGAAAATTAAAAATGATACCCAAGACACTTCGAGGTTATGTATGAGGTAGATTTTCCATTAAGAGAGGCATTAGAGTCCACGAACATGATTAGGGAATGAGAGTTACGGATTGATGACAACGTTTTGAAAGTTCATTTAGTAACTTTAAGGATTCGAGACTTTGATGGAGCATGAATTATTTGTCAAAAAATGGAGCATTGATTGATTGCCTTGCAAATAAAGTTATATTTCAACAATCCAGAGCAAGCATTTGAATTTCAAACAAAAAATCAATTAAAGTCAACATGTATTGTCTAAACGACGATAGCTTGAAAAATTATTAGAAATTGATGCATAAATTACTTGGTTAACGTAGTGGATACCATGAAGGAGGGAAAGGCGAAGTTGAAAGATATTGACATAGTGAGACTTCTAAGATGTTTTTTCTTTTGCCAAGAGTTTATCAAAAGCAACACCAAAAAGAGAGATTGAGTTTGAAATTGAACTCGAATCAAGAACACCAATTTTTAAAACATTATATAGAATGGCACCATTAAAGATAAAAAAGTTAAAAAGTTCAATTACAAGATTTGCTAAACAAAGACTAAATTTGACCCACTTGTTCACCTTGGGGAGTGCCCATTTTGCTCGTGAAGTAGGATGGAACAATGCGAGGTTGAAAGTTTATGAAATGATTTTATGTTTTGTTAAACTTGATAGTTTTAAATATGCTCAATCACTTAAAACTTTAAACCGAAATAATTACGTCATGCATTGTTTGTTACACATAAGATAGAGAACATGGGACTTCGTTTCGCATTCTTTGAGTGTGGCATTGCTTTAGCACTCTTAGCCTCCTTTTAAAGTGAGCACTTACACATACAAAATTTGAGACGATCCTGCAAATAATGAAGAGGTACGAGCTGATAAAAGAGCAGTAGAGAGCCATCAACTCTTATTATAAACAGGGCGCATGAGATGTGTACCAAAAGTTTACAATTTTGATTAAAGAAAGGATTTTATATAAGTTGCCCTGATCCCATATCCAACTTTCTGTACATTCCAGATGGATTCCTTGTGTTGTGCTCTCAATGGTATCCGCTTCTTTGCTTTGAAGAAATGCAGTTTATAACTTCTAAGCAATGCAGTCACGCACTGCCACAAAAGTTTGTGCGAAATTCACAAATGCGTTGGATAGAGAGAATGCTCATTCAATAACCTACTTCTGTTTGTTGAGATTTGACAAGCTCTTCAACTGAATGTTCTTGCTCAAAACCAATGTAACAATCTGAAACCAGCATAAATTTCATCCCCTGAAAAAGCCAACATGTCCAGTGAATTCAAAAACAGCAGTCTAAGATCATGTGGAAGAAGTAAGAACAGTGTAATTGTCTTTCAAGTTGACACATGGTGTTTTCTAAACTTCACACTGACAGCCAAAAAAAATAATAAAATACAGAGAGACCCAAAATTCCCAACATATAAAAAGAAAGCCAATTAGATAATGAATGAACACCATGAATTTAAAGGAAGGCAATTTAACCTGGACAGAAGTTAAGGTTGACGGTAACTCCATATGGGTCACCAAGCGATCTGAGAATGAAACTCTCTTCAAAGCATATAGTTCAGAGGTGGATGTGTTACCAAGAACTAGCCACCAAGCTTCATCTTTTAGCTGAAAAAGTTAAGACAAGCTTAGTTTGTTTTACCAACTAATGAACAGAAAAGAGGCAAACCATGTACCTTAGGGAATCGGGGAGCAAAAGCCCTCAATCTATTTTGCTTGCTAGTGGTCTTCTCCAAATTTATTTTCAGAGCAAGAGATTTTCTACCATCAATGTCCTTTTTCTCAACTTTTAACTTCATTCGAATGAAGGGGAAGTTCTGCAGATCCTAGAAAACAGAAAATAAAGGTTGAATATGAAGGATGGTTGCATACATTATGTTAACATCAGAGAAAAGTTGGCTAATGTAGATAATTAAAAAATTCAGGTCTTATATGCATGTGTATTTATTAAGGTCTTGACTTCTCCAAGAACTTTCTACATTAATTTGCTCATATTATGCCGTGTCTCTCTCCAATATCCACGCTCAAGCATTATGGCTTCGTTCCTATCTGCCGCATGAAACTTCTCACGTGGATAACTTTCTAAAACAAACGACACTTATAAGGAATGTCCAGCAAGTTCCAGGTTCAATAATCTCTTCTCTGACCTCAAATGTGCCCGTTCCTAATTATCTACTAATAAATAAGCACCAAGCAGCTTATGCTTCTCAAGTATGAATGTTTTTTTTTCTTTGTTCCTTTTTTTTAACTTAATAATAATAATAATAATTATTCATTTATTTATTTATCAATCAAAACCTCTTTTAACCCTTCAAGAGCCAGGGATGGCTGCAGGGGAAGCTAATTTAGATGAGGGGACCCTGCAACTTCAATCTTCCCATTTGTCATCATGAACACACAAAAATAATTCTTGAAATCATCCTCATATATATATATATATATATAGAAAGATCTTGTATGATTAGTCTATTCTAAAAATCATTCTATTTTAGGAAGTAGATCATTAATTTCCTAAGTATTTGGGGTGAACTTCCTAAATAGTAGCTGTCAACAATTTAGAGATTTATATATTTTCCCTAAAGAAGCAGATTAGAAAAAGATCTTCATCTATAAATAAGTAAAGTCTTACCTCAATGTACAGTTGAATAAAATATTTCTCTCTCCTAAAAACTTTCATGGTATCAGAGCCTGGCTCTCTTATCCGGCTATTTGTTGTCCAACCGACTGTCTATTGCTTAACCCTAAAAAGTCTTTGTCCTAGTGTCTTGTCCTTGAAGCCACCAAACAATAAGTAATACAACTGTTAGTGGTTTTGCCCATAAAGGTACAACTCTTCATGCAAAAAATGCAAATACTTGGATGGTTGGCTCTAGGGCATCTGACCATATGACAAGTAATTCATCTATATTTTCAACCCATACTCCTTGTCACGGGAATTTCAGAGTTAAAAGTAGGAGATGGTACCTTTTCTCTCATCACTGGAAAAGGCTTAATCCATCTCTCAAAGGAGATTTCTTTTAGTTCTGTTCTTTATGTACCAAATCTTACTTGTAGCTTGATCTCTATTAGCAAGATTACCCGTGAGCTTAAATGTATTTTTGTCTTTTTTGGCAACTCTTGTATACTGCAAGACTTGGAATCAGAAAGGATGATTAGCAATGCTAGAGAAGGTGGACTCTACTATTTTGGGGACGACAAATACGTGAGTACACAAGCTACTGTGGTTGAGAGTGACTACTTCTCTCAATAATAATGCAATAATGTTGAGGCACCGTAAGTTAGGACATCCCAACTTTCATTATCTCAAATATCTATTTCCAAGTTTATTTATCAATAAAAATCTTAGTTCTTTTAGTTGTGAAATTTGTCATCTTGCTAAGCATACTCGTACATCCTTCCCAATCTAACCATACCAAGAGTCTCGTCCAATTTTCTTAATTCATAGTGACATATTGGGACCCTCCAATGTAAAAAAAAAAAATCTCCGATACACGGTGGTTCATCACCTTTATCGATGACCACACTCGAGTTTGTTGGATTTATCTATTTAAAGAAAAATCTAAGACTGCAAAAACAATTCAAACTTTCCATTCAACGATAAAAACCCAATTTCACACCTTTATCCAAACATTAAGAACTGATAATAGAAATGAATATTTTACTGCAATTCTTGGACACTACCTTCAAACTAATGGAATAATCCATCAAAGTTTATGTTTAGACACACCTCAACAGAATGATGTGACAAAAAGAAAAAAACGTCACCTCCTTGAAGTTGCTAGAACCTTAATGTTTACCATGCATGTCCCAAAATATCTTTGGGGGGAAGCAATTCTATCACCCTCTTAACTCATAAATAGAATGCCCTCTTGAGTTCTTAAATTTGACTCCCTTTTGTCAACTTTGCTAAAAACCTACCCAACCTTCCGTTCTATTTCCTCCATACAACTTATGACTTTCGATTGTACAGCTTTTGTACATGTTCAAAATTGTTCTAAACTAGACCCAAAATCAGTCAAATGTGTCTTCATTGGGTATTCTCCCACTCAACGTGGGTACAAGTGTTATTTTTCATCACTTCGACGTGTTTTTGTGTCTATGGATGTCTCCTTTTTTGAGTCCCAATCTTTTTTCCAGAATACTTAATCTTTAAGGGGAGATTTCAGAAGAAGATAAGTTATGGGATATAGCTGAAACGGAATCCTTATCTTTGTCTCTCACTTCAATTCCAAACCCAATTACTAATATTGAATCCCTGTCTCCCTCTCTCCAACTCCAATTCCTACCATTGAATCTCAGCCTATAGTGCCACTCAATACACAGGGAAACATTAAAAACAAGAGGAAATAACTCCCAGCCACAATTACTTGTTTATTTACGCAGGAAACATTCTCAAAAAGGAGAGAACCCAGAAACTCAGCATGGTCAAGAGTCTGACCAGAATCTGAGTCTTGCAGCCGAAGGTACCAGTGAATATATTCAACATGATATTGAGCTTCAAAACCATGCTTTTGACCCGAATATTCCAATTGCTCATAGAAAAGGAACCAGGTCCTGTACCCAGCATCCTATATCCAAGTTTCTTTTAAGAAAAGTTGTCTCCTGAATTTCATGCTTTCACTACTTTACCATCTAGGACAAAGGTACCAAAAAATATACAAGAAGCACTTACTGACCCAAAGTGGTGAGCAGTTGTTCAAGAAGAAATAGGTGCCTTGAACAAAAGTGGCACATGGGAGATTGCAAAACTTCATTAAGGGAAGAAAACGGTGGGTTGTAAGTGGGTTTTTACACTAAAGTTCAATGCTGCTGATAGTATCAGTCGATACAAAGCTATGCTTGTGGCCAAAAGCTTTACTCAGACATGGAATTGACTATCAAGAGACGTTTGCTCCAGTGGCCAAGCTAAATACAGTAAGAGTTCTTCTCTCCTTAGCCTCTAATCTCGATTGGCCGCTACAACAATTGGATATAAAGAATGCATTCCTAAATAATGAATTACATGAGGAAGTCTATATGGATGCACCTCCAGGATTTGAAAGAAAGGACAACCTGATGTGTAGATTGAAAAAAATCTCTTTACAGGTTGAAACAGTCTCCTAGAAAGTGGTTTGGAAAATTTACTCTAGTTATCAAGAGTAGGGGTTTTGTTCAAGCACAATCTGACAACACATTGTTTTACAAGCACTCTAAAAATGAAAAAATAACCATTCTTATAGTGTATGTGGATGATATTATCCTAACAGGAGATGATCACATAGAATTGAATTCTTTAAAGAAGTACCTAGCATGAGCATTTGAATTGAAAGACTCGGGGGCTCTAATGTACTTCCTTGGTAAGGAAGTTGCTAGAAGCAAATCAAGGATTACAATTACACAATGGAAGTATGTACTTGATTTCTTCAAGATACAGGTATGTTGGATTGCATACCAGCCGAGACACCTATGGATCCAATTATTAAGTTATTGAAGGAGGTAGAGAGGTTGATCAAGAACAGTATCAAAGGCTTGTAGGGAAGCTGATTTACTTGTCACACACAAGACCAGACATTGCCTTTCCAATAAGTGTGATTAGTCAGCCTATGCATTCACCTAAGTAGACACATCTTAATGCAACCTATAAAATTTTGAGGTATTTAAAGAATACTCCTGGTATGGGTTTATTATTTAGGAAAGGTGAACATAGAATGATAGAAGTTTATACTGATGCAGACTGAGCAGGTTCTCACTTGGATAGAAGGTCAACTACGGGTTATTGCACATATGTTTGAAGTAATCTAGTAACTTGGAGGAGTAAAAAGCAACCTGTAGTTGCTAGAAGCAGTGCAGAAGCTGAGTTTCGAGCTTTAGCTCAATGTATTTGTGAAGGAATATGGCTAGGGAGTTGCTTAGTGAACTAAATATATCTAACATCTTTCCCATGAATCTGTATTGTGACAAGAAGGCAACAGTGTGTATAGCTCAAAATCCTATCCATCACTATCGAACAAAACACGTAGAAATTGATAGACACTTCATCAAGGAGAAGATTGACAATGGAAGGGTGTGCATGGTTTATATCCCTACTAAAATTCAAACAGCTGATATTCTAACTAAAAGAATGCATAAAGCAAGCTTTGAAGATTTAGTAAGCAAGCTAGGAATGATTTAACATATATGCCCCAGGTTGAGGGAGAGTGTAGAAAGATCTTATATGATTAGCCTATTCTGGAAATCATTCTATTTTAGAAAGTAGATAATTAGTCTCCTAAGTATTTAGGGTTAACTTCTTGAATAGTAGCTGTTACTATAATTTAGAGATTTGTATGTTTTTCCTGAAAAAGCAGATTAGGAAAAGAGCTTTGCCTATAAATATGTGTTCTGTGTTTTCCATGCATAAAAAGGTTGCACAAACATCTAAATGGCTGCTAACCTGATAAAATCTCGAAGCAGGAAAATTTCCAATCATGGCCTGCAAAGCTGCCTTGGGAAGATCCAATAGTTGTTGCACTGTAGATATTCCTCTTTTGCTTAGTGACTGCAGAAGATCTTCATTCATGCATGGCAACATCCACAGGGAAGAATCCTTATCGAACCATAAGCCCTGGGAAAAACACAATGTTTTAAAAAGGGAATGAGGAAAGCAATGTTTCCAATCCATCACATCATGTTATGAGATTAGAATAGTAAGAAGAATCATAAACAGCAACAGCATGGATGAAGAAAACAAATGACTTAAGCCCTCTATCTACCACATGGCACGTCTGTGCCTCCAATTGTTGGCAAAATATTGCCGTTAAAAGAATCCGAGACATTGTTAAGAGAGTCTCCAGAAACCATGATTTTTTACTTTCCATCCATCTTCACACTTTTTTCAGCTCTCTATTTGCAACATGCAGGACCTCATAAAAATCAACACTCTTTTATGCAAGCAATGTCTCTTGCTTACTAGATTGGTCTCTCTGTGTGTGTGTGCATGGGGTGTTTCACGAAAATAGAATTATCTTCCCTTCCACATAAGGGAAACAGAGGAAACACTCTCTTTACTCCTTATATTCATTATTTCTTCAGCTTTTTTTATTTCCTTCCTACTTGTATAATTTTTGCCGATCCTTTTTATTCCAGTATAGCTTATATAAATTTACATAAATGCACAATGCTAAAAGTATTTAATTGATAAGCTTAAATAACAACTATTTGATTTTTATACTTGGAACTTGCTAGATTTCAAAAATTTAGGATCTAAAGTCATGTACATGACACATCTTGAAACCATCATTTAGCTTCTCCATTGGTAAATCAAATCCTTCATTTCCCATAAAGTTACTGGGTAAAAATAAGGATAGAAATACCTGCATGACCATTTGCAACAGATGCATGCAAGTAACTGAGGCTGAAAGCCATCCACTGTTAGCACATATATCGATCATGGCCTGGATGATGCGAATACTTTGGTCCAACACTGATTTTAAATCAGTTACATAATCACTGATAGGCAACTCTAACTGGGAAAAGTGTGCCTGAAAGCCACAAACAAGGTTTTATATTAATGGGAAGTGGATTGTTAAGGAAAGAAAATCATTGAAAAAAACAAAGGTAATAGACAATGGCAACTCTTACCTGAAATAACAGATTTGCTTTAACATGTGGGTCATCCAAGCTATTCTTATCCACTATATATCGAACTCTCCCAGACAACGCTTCATTGTAACTTTCCTGTAACAAAGGAACTTATTTACAGATTACCCCAAAAAGTAATTTCTCACCAAACTATAGCAAGTTTCATTAGAACGATCATAACAAATACACTTTCCTGTAGCAGAACAAGAAGAATCAAATAATAACTGGATATGACAAATCATGGAACATCAATGAAGAGATGGTTTTCATTATAACAATATTATCTCCCTTCAATCTTGAAAGGGCCATATACCTCGTTATGCCGCACAGGAAGTTCATCATATTCAGAAGCACCAGATAGAATATGCACAAACACCTATGACAAAGGAAAAACTATGACATTAAGGATCCAAAGTAAAAAGGAACATCACATCAACGGCATGGTAAAGTACTTACTTCAAGAGATGTATCTGGCCCTATGTTTGACCCAAACATTGATACAGTCGTGTAGCTAAGGTAATATTGTGATGCTATCATACCCAACACCATGGACTCAACATTTTCTTCATCTATCTTTATGCATCCACTGTCTTCCAGGTCTTCAAATGTAGTTTGCACTAATCTGCCAAAAATTGCTATAGTTTTGTCACTGAAAGAAATTTCACAAATTGTAATGGAACGGAAACAAATTGTAACAGAACAGATTCCATGAAATGACTTTGACATGCTAAAAGCATGTTGGTGTTAGTATAACCAAAATTTATGCTACTCTATAAAATGATTATTGAGAAGAAAGTAAACACAAAATAAATAGACTGACTATCCACATTTATACTTGTTATCATAGCAACACCAGTTCTTTATCATTTAGCATTGACTTCTTAAATATGCTATTGTTAGAAATACATACGCCATTAATCAAAATACCTTTTGGTAAAACTTCTTTAAAATCATAAGAATTGTGTCAGCTAACCAATAATGATTTTAAGAGTAAAACTTGAATCAACTTAGTGATTTAATCAGCTGAAATACTCTAAAACAAGTAGGCCCTTTTTACCTGGACAAATAAGAATTCAGAGTTTCAGCCTCTGCATTCTCCAACCCATAGTAGGCTGGATTAACCATCTGCAAGAAAGATCTATGACTATCTTTTGCAGGTGAAAGAAGAAGAAAATAAAAAACAAAAATAATGCTCAAAATCTAATATATAGATATTAGAAAGAAAATATAACATACAATTGATACTGTCGCTTCTACATAGGGAATGATTGTCATGCTACGGAGTTTCAATTAAAAGAATATTATTCATTTTCATTCAGAAACGGAAAAGAAAAATAGAGAAACCTAAAGCTTTTCACTTCTTTACAAGTTTAGCACATTTTTATCAGGTACACATCTTAATTCAACAGGTGGTCTTCTTTTAATTATTGCCACTAACAAAAACTGGCAATTTATGTTCCGTGAATGTTTGTCAAAGCGCAGACACAATACCCAAAATGCAGAGACAACAAGATTCTTACAACAGAATTTTGTTTGATGAAAATAAGGTAAATGAATCATAGTTTGCCTTTTGTTTTACTTCTATTTATTATGTATTTTTGTGATTTCATCACTATTTGATTCATTACCCTCGGTTTTATACTCACTACAGAGGATAAAATTCTCCAAGGCAACAGGTTGAAAAGTCAAACATGGTACTCTGGCCAAAAATAGACTACATCCTGCAAGAGTTATGGACGCCTCAAATATTAATAGTCACACTAATGCATTTACATTTTACAAAGTCACATTATATAGTAATGATGGTTTAATATGAACAGAAAAACTTTATTCATGAATTTACAGATGGTGCAGGCAAACCTATGTGGTGACTAAACACCTGATGAACTCTATTGATTCCTAGAAGTTAGATTGACCACAAACCTTGTGCTCTCTATTAACTCCTAAAATTTTATATTTATTTCCAAAATTTTAAACCAGTTTCTATCCTTCCAGTAATGCCACGTTGCTATTTGAGTCTCAGGCAATGCCTATGTGGTGACTAAACACCTGATGAACTCTATTGATTCCTTGAATTTAGATTGACCACAAACCTTGTGCTCTCTATTAACTCCTAAAATTTTATATTTATTTCCAAAATTTTGAACCAGTTTCTATCCTTCCAGTAATGCCATGCCATGTTGCTATTTGAGTCCCAAGCAATGCCGGCAATGTTAGCAATGCCAGGACTGCTGAAATGACAGAGCATGAAGACGGGCTCAAATTTTTTACAGAGCAAATCACTTTCAAGTCCTACAGTTTTAGTGAAAACGGGGTAATTTCTAAAACCAACATGATATTTCAAGAGGTTTATGCTTGGAAAAATTAGCGTACAAAAAATTTATGTTTTAGCACAAAATAAAATCTCAAGAACCAGGTTTCAGAAAGCTCACAAACTAAAACTGAATTTCACCAGAACCTCTAGGACTTGAAAATAATTTACCCAATTTTTACAGCACATACAAACGTTACGCAATAATTCAAACACATCTTATTGAATATTGACTAACTAACTTGTTGAATAAGCTCACCATTTAGTCATACAATATCAATCTTCCATTTATCTGATATTAATAATAATCTTTTTGTCAAACCTATACCCAGAAAAAACTTAAAAAACAAGATTTTGATAAATTTTAACCCTTCAATTGCAATCTCGATACCGCAGAAACTAGTAAAATTTCACTTCCACAAGCTAATAAAAATATTTCTACATGATGAGAGACTTCAATGGAAATTTTGCATGTAGGAAAGACCAGTAAGTTAAGGTTTTTTTTTTAATACTTTTTGAACTAAGAAATGAAGACCTGGACCTGGAAGATCATAATCTAGAAAAGCGAACTCTTATCTGAGTAAATATTTTTCCTCATAGTTATAATCATCAAATTCATACCAATCTACGGAACAAGTATGTCCATGTAAGGTAATGCACTGCATCCTCTTTGTGGCAGATTGTGCCAGTCACTATCTCTGCATTGATGTGATCATGTAATTGCTCCCTCAGACTACTCTCAACTGGAAACGGTTCATACAAAAACTGAAATCAAAGAACATCAGAGTTAAGCCCAGCTTCCAATAAGAGTATAATCAAAATTACCATAAAACACATACAAATTACTAATGTTACTCAACCTTTTTATAGAAGCTCTTTTTGGGTTCATGAACAAGAATGACAGCTTTGCCATGTTGATCATACTGTGGACGGCCTGCACGACCCATCATTTGCAAGATATCTGTGATTGGAAAATCTACATATCTCTTTGCTTTTCCGTCATAATATTCTGTTCCCTGGAAAATAGACGCCCAATTTTTGAAATAAACATCCATGGTTTGGAAAGAGGGAACTTGCTTGGAGAGAGTATATTGACAGAAATAGCTGAATTTGAAATTTAAAAGACATTCAGGGAACTGCAACAAACTGGTTTGCAGTCAGAGGCCACTTACTCTGCACCTCAATGACTGGCCAGTATTTCTCTTGCAACAAATCTTACAACAGACATGATCTATTGCTTGATCATATTTCTTCAATGGATTTTTTCGTATAACTGCCCTTTTCCTGTGACTTCCTATAAAACTACTTTGTACAGTTCAAGTTTGGCAGTTCGATGCCAGCCTCTTGAAGCTTACACAACACAATACAATGCAGAAGGAAAAATGCCTCCTTAACATTGCTTTAGAAAATGCTGTAGCATGGCACGCCATTAATAATCAAGCTTAAAAAGATTTCTACACCATCACATGAAGGATTCAAAAATCAACCAGAACAAACCCCACCAGTATCATTTCAGGTTTACAAAACGAACAAGATCAGTATGAAAATACTATTTTCAAGCCATTTGACAACTACTGTAGAGTGGTAGTGTCTAATGAAGAGCAAAACAAGCTTGAAATGTTAATGACCCCTGAAGCATGAAAAATATTCTGACAGAATACATCAAAAACAAAGATAAAATCTTCCTAAATTTACATATGTGCCAGCATGTGTATTCCAAGTACAGTAATGGTGCAGAACACAAAAATGGTCAAAAATCTTTGCAAACTTTTGATATAGTAGCAAATAAATTTGTAATAATACAACAGTAAGAATAATATGCATACATATTTATGCCTCACCTTGATAATAACTAGATGGGCTGGAAGATTTACGCCCCATGCCAATGTACTAGTACATACCAACACCTGTGAATCAATAGTCTCATTTTCTGTTTGGAATGTGTGCTTGCCAGGTATGGGGAAAAAATAGATCAATTAGGTGATAAAAACCTGGATCTTGTTATTTGCAAAAAGTTCCTCAACCAGAGATCTATCTTTGTCATTCAGACCTGCGTGGTGCAACCCAATCCCAAACTGTAAGGTGTGCCTGAGGTTTGGATCAGTGACCTGAGAGAGAACCATCTGCAGTGCTTCTTCTGACATACTAAGGAACTGCCTTGGATATTCATCTGAAGCTGCAAACTACATGACATAAAAACACAATGTTTAAAATGTAATGTAATGGCATCAACAAGCCATGATGTGACGATGCATTTCACCTGAATAAGGTCTAGTGCTGTGAGCCTAGTCTGGCGACGAGATGAAACAAATATGAGAACTGGTTTTGTAGGTGAATGGGTGCATATTGCAGCATAAGATGGTTTGTTCATGCTATTCATCCTTGGGCAGTAGTACTTTCCAGGATATCCCTGCCCATAAAAAGTGAGTACTTGTCAAATGCAAAATAAGCTTCCATGTCAACCAAAAGATATACACAATGAACAAGGATAGCCTATCTAATGTTAATCCAGACAAACATCATAAAGGAAGAAGACAACATGCAAAAATTAAGAACAAGAAAATCAGTTGTTTGCAGAAATAATGTAAATCATGTGGCTGTGACAGCCATAAATTGTCCCTCTATGAACATTCTGCCACATGCTGCTGGCAGGAGGTACAAAATCTCACACCAAATCCACAGTTGCAATGGCTAATGTCAGCAGTATGCTAGGATCCCTTCGTTTTACTAGTGAAAAAATTTCCATTATTCTAGAAAAATTTTCTAGACAGCAGAAATCATGATTACTAACTAAAATGGAAACTATTTTCTTAGATATGGATTTTTTTGTTTCTCCAATTCTCTAGAAAACTGGAGAACTCCTAAAAGCTGTTATCGAAATTCAACACTTCAGAAAACAAGGGGTAGTTTTAGTTCATTAGATAATTTATCCTCTAATAATCTTAATGGCAAGTGATGCAGGACAGCTTAGGGGGCTATTCTGGATCTGACTTTGGAGGCTATTTAGGGCTGTACTGGGTTGTATTCAAGTAGATTTCTGCTGGGACCGGTAGCGAGACACACTAATATGTTTTTAGGAGACACCTAACCTAAGCTTTCACACCCAGGGTTCTTAGGAGTCACACCAAAGGAAGATTGAGTCACACAATCAAAAGAATTGCTGGAATTTTTATTCATAAATTGTCATTCATAAAACTGAAAGACTACAAGCTTATTTATAGAGTTCTAGCAGTCCAAATTCAATAAGGACTTGATTCCTATATAAGAAAATACTAAGTCTATGTAGAATAAGAAAAACCTAATAAAACTAATTACATCTTAAGACTAATAAAATATTAAGTAGAAAATAAAACATAAACTTAGACAAATTTCCAGATTTTTCAAAAATTACAGAAATATCCTTGTATACAAAAGACATAAGTTTTGCCCCCCAAACTATTGCATTTTGGCAATTTCAGGCTTTTGATATAAATTTACGTAATTTGAACCCAAACTATTATTTTTAGGGCAAACCCTATCCTCCCTCCACTATTTGTAACGGTGATGCAGGACAGCTTAGGGGCTGTTCTGGATCTGATCTTTGAAGGAGGTTTAGGGCTCTTTAGGTCTGTATTGATGTGCATTTTGTACTGAGAATTATAGAACTATTAGAGTCACACTAATAGGGTTTCTAGGAATCACACCTAAGAGGATAGAAAACCTAAACTTCACACCTAGGGTTCTTAGGAGTCACACCTAAGGGAAATTAAGTCACACAATCAAAGGCAAATTGCTGGAAATTATTTGATATTATTACATACTGAATATTGAAACACTACATACTATATTTATAGAGTTGTAGAAGTCCAAATCCAATTAGGACAAGGATTCCTAAACCTCCAACATAACTATTCCTATTTAGGGAATAGGAAAACCTAATAACTTCAGGACTAAGAAAATAAAATACTAAATAGAAATAAAGCCTAGACCTAAACAAATTTCCAGCAAACCTAAAAAAATACTCAAATACCCTGCACTCTAAAGTTTAAATAAAACACATAAATCTTAGTCTTTTGTCGTCTGCATCATCTTCTCCAACTTGGAGAAAACTCGACCTTGAGTTTTAAAATCATGTGATTGCATCCTAATCATCATCAAGGTTATCAGCCTTATAAACCCCAAAATCTAAAGAATTTCCTGCCAAATCAGATTCTTGTTCTGCAGGTTCCTTTCCTTGTGCAATCCCAACATGCAAATTTTTCATAGGACACTGGTAACCCATATGTCCCTATTCTCCACACTTAAAACAAACAGGTTTCTACCTTTAGTAGGGGCTATATTAGAAGAAGAAGGTATTGAACCATTAGGATGGTTGACAGGTTGTCAATAGACTGACATTCCTTCTTTACTCAAGTCAATAGCTGGCCTTTCATTCTTACCATAGGAAGTGGTTGTAAATCTCATAGAAGTCTTCTTCTTAGCTTCTCCTCAATCTGAGTAGCAACTTGAACCACATCGGCCATTATATAAAGCCTATAACTAGCTAAACCAGAAGAAATTTGTAAATTCAGCCCTTGCCAATACATAGATATCATGACATCTTCATTCCATGGAAATTCTAACCTTGTTGCTAAGCTGAAAAATTTGTTAGTGTACTCATCGATGCTTAAACTTCCTTGTGTCAATTGCATAAATTGCATGTGAACTTGTTGCTTGTAATTAGGTGGTACAAAATAACAGGTCATAGCAATCTTCATATCTTCCCAAGTTCAAAGGGTAGCATAATGACTTTGCTGAAAATTTTCCCACCAAACTCTAGCTGTCCTTTTCCACTTGGCTTCCGCAAAATAAACTTTTTGCTCATCACCCAAATGATACACTTAAAGAGACTTTCCAAACCATGTAACCAATCAAGAAATACCTCCGGATTACTCTCTCCTGGAAAATCACTAACATGAAGCTTAATACCTTTATTTATATCATTCATCCTTGAATTTTCTTGATATCGAGTTTGAGGAGGAAAAGAAGGATGAGTTTCTACCTTTTGTGTTAAAGATTGCTTTGATGAGTCTACTACAGGCTGTATTTGGTTAGGCACTGGCTGGTTGAGGGTCTGGGTAGCCACAATACCTTGATTTTGTGGAAAAGAGTTAGCAGCTGTTATAACAGCAGGTTGCTTTCCTAGAATAATTTTTGAAAGCCTTTCAATTGACACCTCTATTGCTCCAAATCTGGAATCAAATTTTTCTTCAATGTTGTCTAACCTTTCATCCATAGATTTTTTGCTTGCTTTAGCTTCTAGTCGAAAGGCTTCAAATTTTGTATTGACTTCATTGACAGTCACCGTGATTGAAGAATGCAGCAAAAACTCCTAAGATTTTGAAGCTCTGATACCAAATGATGCAGGACAGCTTAGAGGCTATTCTGGATCTGATCTTTGAAGGAGGTTTAGGGCTGTTTAGATCTGTATTGACGTGGATTTGTACTGGGAATTATAGAACTATTAGAGTCACAGTAATAGGGTTTCTAGGAATCACACCTAGAGGATAGAAAACCTAAACTTCACACCCAAGGTTCTTAGGAGACACACCTAATGGAGGTTGAGTCACACAATCAAAAGCAAATTGCTGGAAATTATTCGATATTACTGCATACTGAATATTGAAAGACTACATACTATATTTATAGAGTTGTAGAAGTCCAAATCCAATTAGGGCAAAGATTCCTAAACCTCCAACATAATTATTCCTATTTAGAATAGAAAAACCTATAACTATTCCTGTTTAGGAATAGGAAAACCAAATAACTTCAGCACTAAGAAAATAAAATACTAAATAGAAATAAAGCCGAGACCTAGACAGATTTCCAAAAAACCTAAAAAAATGCTAAAATACCCTGCATTCTAGAATTTAAATAAAACGCATAAATCTTAATCTTTTGTCATCCGTATCAAACAACCAATCCTTTGACCTTTTCTTAAAAAAAAATTATTTACAAAATAAAATGAATTGAATTAAAAGGATTAATACGGACATTTCATCTGCATTAACCCTTTTAATTCTGAATTGAATCAAGGATAGAGAGAGTGAGAGATTGAGTTAGGGTTTTAGTAACTAGATGCTGCGAGATTAAGAATTGCTGGTTTGATGAAACAAGTCAAAACCCAAAACTATGTAGATTGGAAACTGAATGAAACAAGTTATTCCCCTGTATTGTGAATTGAATCTTAATAAAAGTTTCCAAACTAGGCAAAAAAATAAAAAGCAAAACCACAAGAGGGAAGGAAGAACAAGTCCTATTAATTGTTATTTTATTTGGACAAGAACAATAGAATCTCACAAACACAACATTGACTCTCTCTTTCTGATTTCTCCAAAAGAACAGAGGAAATTACAGTCTTTTTCACTCTTTGTATGCAGAAGACAAAGAAACTGAGATCACTCTCTTTCTTTAAACTATCTAACAGTGTCGAAAACCAAACTCAATCACAAACATATAAACAGCAAGCAAATAAAAGGGTTAATAAATGCAACATATCATCTATATTAACCTTTTTAATTCAATTCATTTTATTTTGTAAATAGTTTGAAAAAAAATAACGGGTGGAATGCTTAAACGATGTCGTTTACTCATTCCACTTAATGGTCAAAGGGTTGACCATTACAAATAATGGATTGAGGATAAGATTTTCCTAAAAATAATAGTTTGGGGTTTAAATTATGCAAATTGATAATAAAGGCCTAAAATTGCCAAAATGCAATAGTTTCGGAACAATTTTTTCCATTAAACCGTTTTGCTTCCTTTGTTGTTCACATCATTCTCCCCTGGTTTGAGAAAACTCGACCTTGAGTTTTGAAGTGTCAAAGTAGCAAAAACCACACGTCCCACACCTCATCCCATAGCTTGAAGCCAGTTCCTTGAGCTTGATACCAATTACCCTCTGCCATAAGTGAAACAGTGAGTAAAACATCATGCATTTCTCTATAGCTGAATCACCAAACTTCGGTTGAAGAAGGAAGTCAATGCGATTGATTTGCACAATTTGCTCATCTCTGTCTTGGGTATCCTTGATGTTTTGCCCTTGTTGCTTCATAATATCTACTGTCTTTGGCATGTCAATAATTACTTCTTTGACCTCGTCATTTAGTTGTCCCCATAATTTCTTTCCTACAGGCTGGTTTTCAGTTTCTATTCACTGACCTTTCTCTTTAGACCTTCCAGCATCCTATTCTACTGTTTTTACTTTCATTTCATGGCCCTTGGGTTGCTGGAATTGTTCTTCACATTGTAGTTCAGGTTGAACAGATGGCTGCTCAGGTTTTGCTGCCAATCATGTGAACCTTTTTGCTTCCAAAAGTTGCTGATTTTCTCCTTGGTGCAGCTGCGGTTTCAAATCCCATCCATCCCCCCCCCCCCCCCCCCTGTTTTCCAAACTTCAGCACATTAAACATCACCACGTATTTAGCATTTATAGCATTTAACAAGCTGATTTTTATATGTGGTGGGCATTCTCATATATCCTTTGTTGATAACTAAATGGCAAGTAGCTCTCTTCAAGTATAGCTTTCATCTCATCCCAAGTAGTAATGGATAGTTGTCTCTATCTATCTATCTCAACACGATACCACCAAATTTTAGCTAACCCAACTAGTTTCATCTTGGCAATCCTTATTGTCCGTTCATCCAACATATTATACCAATTAAAGAATGTTTACATAGACCTAATCCAATCATTGAATAGTGCACGATCTACCTTTCATTCAAATTCAAGAACATCAACCCTTACTTTCTTTGAATATCACCAGCAGTGTCTTGTGGGTCGATTTGTTCCTTTCTTTGGATGGGCAATGCAGCTGGTTGATTATTCTGGGCAGCCACAAAACCTTGAGTTTGTGGAAAAGAGTTGCCAGATGTTGTGACAGCAAGTTGCTTGCCTAGAACAATTTTCAAAAGCCTTTTGATTAATGCCTCTATTGCTGCAAGTCTAAAATCAATTTTTCCTCCAATATCATGCAACCTTTCTTCTGTACATTTCTTGCTTGCTTTAATTTCTAGTCAAAAAGCATCAAATTTTGCGTTGACTTCAGTCACCATGATTTAGAATGCAACAAAAAAACTTCTAGGCTTTTGAAGCTCTAATACCAACTGATGCAGGACAGCTTAGGGAGCTGTTCTGGATCAGACTTTGGAGGCTGTTTAGGGCTGTACTGGGTTGTATATAAGTGGATTTCTGTTGGAAATTTTAGAACTATTAGTGTCACACAAATAAGGTTTCTAGTAGTCACACCCAGAGGATAAAAAAAACCCTAAGCTTACACCTAGCGTTCTTAGGAGTCACACAATCAAAGCAAATTGGTGGAATTTTATTCATAAACTGCCATTCATAAAATTGAAAGACTGCAGGCTTATTTATAGAGTCCTAGTAATCAAAATCCAATAAGGACATAGATTCCTAAATAAGATAATAGTAAGTCTACATAGAATAGGAAAATCCTAATAAAGCTAATTACTCAGGAATGATAAAATACTAAATAGAAAATAAAACCTAGACTCGGACAAATTTCCAGATTTTCCAAAAATTACAAAAAATATCCTTGTCTACAAAAAGAGACAAGTTTTGCTTCCTCTGTTGTCCACATCAGCAAGCTAAAGGTGCCCTTAGTTTTCTATTTTACGAAAATTATAGTTTGGATTATTATGTTTTCTTACTTTTCCAAGAGAAACATTTCTAGAATAAAAAAAATAGTAAAAATGGAAAGTAGAAATTCATTTTCAGAAAGTAAACACAATTTAAAGTCTACAACATACTAGGTGGTACAGTGACATAATAAGATTGCTGCCTCTTCCTGTCAACCCTTCCAACTTTACACACATCATTTTCTCCATAAACTGTAGTTTTTCTTCCAATACTAAAAAAATATGTGAAAAGTTGAGGAAGAAGCAACAATCTTATTTTGTGGAGAAGCATAAAAACTATCCTTTTCTTTTCATCAAAATCTGAAAAAGTTTTTGTAAAATCCTCTGTATGCTTGTAGAGTTCAGATTTTTGGCTGAGATGTTCTTTAGAGCCACTTGGTGTTGGAGATCACTATAAGGTTTTATGATTTCTTATGGAAGCAACACTGCAGTGTGCAGAGAAAAATTAGGCTAAAGTTCCTATCTCAAGCATCATGAGCAATTCCTTTCAAAACTAATAGTCAAAAGCTTTGATGATGATAAAATATCTTTAGCTATCATACAATCTGAAGATGACCAAAAATTGAAAGTCAATTTCGTGTATTATCTTATTTTTCTAATAAAAGACTAACTTTAAACAAAAGATAAGATAAAATCATTTTTCTTTTGCAAGATAAATGTTCCATCAAAAGCATGGCATCTACTTGCCTGGATATGTACTTCTAGAGGCACTGGCCTGACACTTGGCTTGAAATTGAAGAGTCCAAATTCACCAACACCCAACCAATCAGCCAAATCACTAGATAAATGAAGATCATAAACAAGAATTAAAATAGAAAAGTTATCAAAGCATCTTAAATGCACCGAAACCATGGAAAAAAGGCTATTTAAAGCACTAACGCTCAACATTTGTGGAGTAAACATCTTACTAGCAATAGAGCAATGCAACAACAGTATGTTTTTTTCTTTTTTCTTTTTTTGAGACAACTCAACTAATGGTATAATCAATGCAATACAACTGATTGCAAATGTGTCACAGAACTTTTAAAACAAAAAATAATAAAAAAATAAATTTAACCCAGGAACTTCTGAAACTAGTTCCTCCATATTCACAAAGTAGATCAATTCGGCCAGCATAATATTTTCATAATCATGCTCAATTTAATCCCAAAACAATATATTAAGATTAAGTAAAACTCCTCCCCTTTTGTCCAGTATATGGACTGTAGTCCTTTTTTTTTTTTTTTTTACTCTTATTCTCAGTTAAACATTCAAACCCTTATTTCTTTGCTGTCAAAATAATAATAATAATAATAATAATATCAGCAACTACTTAATTGCTTCTATCACGTATGAAGATTATGTTTATATTGGAGAGTCTACTCAGATAAGTCAGGTTTTATTTGCTAAATTTCATATCTTCTTGTATTGGGGTGGTGATCAAGTATTGTATGAGATTTTTTAACCTTATGGCTTAATGGAAGAGATTATTATGTATGATAAGGCAGCCATAGTTTATTTCAAAGCTTGTTAAAGTGCTATCTCTGCCTGGACTTATCTCTATTGATATTGTATTTATGAAACTTATTGCATGCTCAATTTTCAGTATGCTAAAGTTGCTACTAGATCTCCCTATTTCTGATATGAGGCAAGAGAGAAATGATATGAGGTTAAAGCATTTTTTCTATATGTGAGTTTTTTTAAGGTTAATTGAATTTACCCAAAAAGGCGATTGATGTTTTTTTGTCAAAAAGGTGTAGACAGACAGAAAACAATGGTCAAATTCAGTTTCTCACATGTTAAACAGAAAGCAAGTTATTCATAAACTAATATTGTAAGACATAGGTGCTTGAATTTGAATCAGATGCACACACCTTGCATTTGCCAAAGCAGTTGAAAGACCTACAAAACGCACCGCACGCTCTGTTTGTGATGATATGTATCTCATCCTAGAAACAATAACCTGGAAGCATAAAGTTCAATATTGTCAAAGGAACAGAAACCAATTCATAGACCAGTGAAATAAAATGTAATGCTGAGTTGGCTTTAAGCTACTAAACAATCCAATGCACACACCTCTTGTTTTAATACTCCCCCAACCAACTGAATAAGTTTAACAAATGTTGGCACAAAAGCTTCATTTCCAAACCACTTAGAATTCCAAGGATTTGTCAAAAGAACTAAGTTGATCATCAATGGCCTTCTGATTACAATGCCAAGCCCATTATAAAATTAAAGTAAGATCAAGAGGAAAAACAATTACCTTAATCTATCACCCCATATAAAATCTGATGGAACCCAAACACAGACTATCTGCTATAAGTTTGAGCCACAATTTCATAACATATGAATTAATCCCAAGTAAAGGATGAATGAGAACAACTTCTTGAAAAACTAGTCAACAGTGATAGAAAACAGTGACACAACATTGATGACAAAATTTGTTTATAAAAAAAAAAAAAGAATTAACTTTAAGTACGCAGGAACAAGTTCAAAAATATATATATATATGCTCAAATAAACAAACGAATAAATCCAAAAAAACAAAAAAAGATCTCAGTTCATCAATAGATAACCCTGAAATAGTAAATGAGAAGACGAATTCTGAGGTTCTATACTACAATAAATGCTCAGAAACAAAAAATAAAAATTTAACCATTAATACCTCGAGGATAGGTCCACGATCAGCTCCCAGTAAATGAATCTCATCTAAGATCATAAGTCCAACCTATCGATGAAATTGAATCAAAATATCTATATGAGGTAAATACTAAATAAATGAGAAACAAACAACCATTTCCTTCAAAAGTGGCGACCAAATATTAAAAAAAAAAAAAAAAAAGCACCTTTGTTACATAGCTTCGACTATGCCAATTACGACTGATGCCATCCCACTTCTCAGGAGTAGCTATAATGACATCAGCTGACAACAGAGCCATCAAATCAGGAGTATAATCTCCAGTCATTTCGACCTAATAGAAAACATAATCTTAATTCCAGTAGCTAGCATATGTTAATGTCTTGAAGGCCCCCATACAAACCACAAGCACATGAGCACACATAAACAAACACTTACAGTTACTAGCTTATATTTATCTCTCATGTTGTTTTCAAATAATGTATCTCCAAGACTTGATCACAAAACAAATAAAAAATCATATTATTACTTTAATAAGTTATTTTTTAAGAAAATAAAAATATAATATCTTAACTAAATTAATAGTATCAGTAAACCATTATGTCACTTAAAATTACATACATAGAGGTTAGGAAATTATTAGAGTTTGTGCATATTATTAGTATATTATCATGTAAATTAATAGTATCAGCACACCATTATGTCACTTAAAATTGCATACGTAGAGGGGCAGTTTAGGAAAATGTTAAGAGTTTGTGCATATTATTAGTATATTATCATGTCTCTTTTTTAAGTCACCCGAATGAATTTATGCTAAAGATACTTTTCCCAAGGACAAGTTATTAAGGATATAATAGTAAGTGAAGAAGTGTTTATGACTTCATGCTTTGATAGATAATATGCTTATAAAGCTAGTGAATGCATTTCTCACCATCTCTTTCCCAAGCTGAGAAACAAGACGCTTTCTCCAATCATTCATTCTTTCTCGAACAATAGCCTTCAGAGGTGCTATGTAAATAACCTGCATTTAGAGAAATAACTAAGTGTATTGCATAATGGGGTACAAAACACCTAAAGAATCTGCCAATATATTGATTAATTGGTATAACAAGAAACCTAATGTTATTTCCAAAGGATATACTAAAAACAAGGAACTTTGTCTCGTGTTCTTTCACAAAATATTAGAGCTCTAGCTCTGGTGATACTGGTTTGCACATCTAGAAAATGCAAGAAAGCAATGAGCATTTAGCTGGAAACAGCCCTTGTCCTTTTATGGTTTGCAATTTTCTCAATATCTTATATTTGCACAAATTGTCATTTGTATTGCACCAAATTATGAAAAATAGTACCTTCATGTCAGGCTGTGTGTTAAAGAGGCGAAGCATAGCAAGTTCAGCAGATATAGTTTTCCCACTTCCAGTGGGAGCTCCTAACAGAACATTATTGTCAGTGTGATACAGAATATGAAAGACCTGCAATTCACAAACAAAAGTATCGAATCACAAATGCAGAAAACTTTTCATAAGGTGAAAGGAACAGTTTAAAATAGGTAAAACCATGAAATAAACCAACAAAAATTCAATATAATGGACTACACCTGCGTTTGTATAGGATTGAAATGAGAAAAGTTGTACAAGGCTTCATAAGTGTTGTTACTAAGCGAAGTTACAGGAAGCGGTTTTATATCTAGAAGTTCTGTATGTGAGGTACGAGTCTGCACACAGCTGAATTTAGTGAGAGAAAAAATTTGCCATAAGGAAGTGCACAAACGATTATCCAATGTACAATGCGTACCTCTGGTAGTGCTAGATTATGGAAAGATATAGTGTAGAAAGATTCAGCACGCAACCAAGAATCAGAAACAGCACGAATGTAATATTGTGGGGGATGAGGTTCGAAAATTGGAACAGTGAAGGATAGCTTCTGAGGTTCCCCGCGAATCATCCGCTTTGTTATAGTTAAAAGCTCAGAATGATAGATGTGATCATTCTCAGAGTCCTGTTTAAATAATTGATTGGGCATCAGTTACATCTGAAGCAAATTGTGCATCTCATTAGAAACAATGTCAAAGGTAAAAAAGACTTTGTCAAATCATGAACTCTCAACACAGGAAACTGGAACACAACCCCAGTAAAGGAAAACTTCCATAAGAAGTCCAAAATCAAAATTACTCATATGCGATAGTGAATTCATGAGCTCAAATTTCAAATACAGATATGCCTACCATCCATATTTCCATAAGTGAGTGTAACAAGCCTATTTACCAACATTTTCTACACCCATTTTTGCAATTACAAGAAAATTAATAGTGCATTTAATATTTCACTGTTCTATTGCATTTAAAAAAGTTGATTAGAACATAACGTGGTGAATAAATATTTGAGATGGCATAGCTACTGAAATTTAGATGAAAGGTTTTATGCTTTAGGTTCAAAATGCATATCAGTGCACTTAAAAGAGTCCAAACCACAAACATCTTGAGTAGACAGGAATTTATCCTTAAAGCCCCTTCCAGGTTTTGAGTGAAGCAAATAATCAAAATATTATATCCTCTAGCTACATAGGAATCACAATGGGAGATATATGACAACACCTCAACAAGAATCCACCAACGTTGGGCAGCACCATGGAAACGATCTTTCCATATGAATTCTGGGGTTATGAGCAAATCCACCTGCATGTTGAAATTACCATCATTACGAGGCATCTATATTGATAGAATAGAACCTAAAATCCAGAAGATATGAAGTGGAAGCAATTGGCTATAATTACCTTCAATACTGTTCTGGTGATTGGACTTACAGTTGCTGATAACTGGATCGATGGAAAATATCCTAAATATTGCTTAACCAACTTCCATCATTCCCCAACCCCCAAACAACAACGAAAAAAAGAAATTGAATAATTAAAGTCAGTATTATCTCTATCAACACAAAACAATATAGAACACCATTCCGTACAAAAGATTACCCTTCCTCCAGGTGCATAACGAATAAGTGCTCCAATATCCTTTTCTTCCATCTCCTGCAGATGATCTAAGTCAGATCCTCGTTCTTCTAGCTTCCGCAATATCTGGAAAGTTATGAAGTGATGTCAAACGATGATCACCACAGGAGCAGTTTGGGAAGAGAAAAAGGCAAATCAAAGTAGACCAACTTCTCCGGAAAGATCCTTGTCAAATTGTCTAAGTGGATGTTGATGAGGCCAAATTTGGCGATCCACAGCCTTGCAGTATTCCAACATGAATAAAGACATCTCACTCCAGCCTCTGCGCAAACAAATCTCAAATAACGCACGCATTATACGAGCCAAGCTTGCACTGATATATGCAGCATCAGAGACCAATGAAAAGGAATCAATCGAGCCACGAGATATGTACAACTGCAAGTTGATAAACAAAACAATAGTCAAATAGAACAATTTCATTAACTATGGTAGGGACAATTAATTACGTAAAGAAAGCTAAAAACCTGAATGAGAATTGAAATTTTTCCATGCTTGTTTGAAGGACCGCCCCTAACTTCTAAAGGGCATGATGAACGCAACAACATCTCCAGCTCATGCTGCTCCTCCTCTCGAACAACAATATTCTCGAATTCTGAAGAACGGGCAACCATGTCAATAACCTGCCACAGCAGCAAAACAACGCAAAGGTTGTTAAATAAGATGCTGATTTGATATAAATTTGTAAATGGAAAAGGTAAAATAAAATAGCAATTAGAGATCAGAGATTAGGGAGATGATATCACAGTCCAGTGCACCTGAAAATACAGACTGAACAAATGATCACTAAAGAACTCATGATTGGGAAACCTTGTACCCTAAAAATTCTGAGAGCTTGCTTCAAAAAACTCTCAAGAGTATATAAAAAGGAAAGTCTAAATACACCATAACATTTTGTAAACTGATGTAACACAGTAAAACCATGGATGACAAGAAATAACCTCACTATCATTCATATGGCGCCTCAACATTTCATTGTAAGTTTCGACACTAGAATATTGGATATAAAAGTGGCTTGCAATGCGCCCAAGCTCTGTACAGTAAAAATTGCCACTTTTCTCATCAAACCGCATCATTTTAGCTTTGTCAAGTGCACGTGCAGCATCTGTTACAAGAGCTCTTTGCTTTAAACTCAAAGAAGGGTCTGCAATAACCTAAAAGCACATGAAGATTCTTTGCGTAAGCATCATGTGGAAAATCAAGAGCAAACTTTAGATTCAAGACTATTCAAGTTCATGCGCCATCAAGGACATCGAAGTCTATGCATGCATGTGTCTGTGCATACATTATAGCAAAATTTCAGTTTGAACAAAGTCTCAAAGTGTAACCCACGCAGATACAAGTGTCAAATCCTGAAGTTGCAACAGTGATTGTACCATCAGGGACTGTCACAACCAAATTCATAATAGTTGCGGCCACCACTATTTAATGCAAAAATTTCAAACTATTGTAACAAGTATGACAGTGTTTTTGGTACAGTATAAACTTAAAGATGCAAACATTTTTTTTGCAAAAGCATTGAGATTTTAACATTAAATCATCAATTCAATAGTAGAGTCTTCATTTCAAACAAGTATGACAGAGTTTTATGGTTTGAAATGCAATTCGATCAGAGATTGAATTAAAAAGGTAGAAGATGGATGGGAAGAAGCTATTTGTATATGTGACTTTTCAAGTAGCCATGCTTGAATTTTTTTGTTTATAAGGACTTGCTTCAATGAGAGCTTATTGGAGCAGCAAGAAGAGCAGAAGTATAAAGGTTTTGAAAGAGTGAAGTCTGGGGACAAAGGGAAACATGAGGAATGGGATCCCTAAACCCACCCCAACAAAAAAGTTTGCAAGCAGAATCAAAATCTCATTGTCAATAGTTATTTTGTTTGAGTAATATAAAACCATTCATGGGACTTGAGATGATTCTACGATCTGGTATCACAACCTTGATGATCAAACAGGCATAAAATAAATCTCAACACCTCCACTTTCTCTTCTAATTAATAATTCAGAACAAGGTAGTGGTGGGCTTGTCCAAGTTTCAAGCCCAAAGGACTTTCAAATTGAAGGAGTGTGTTAGAGAGTAATATAAAACCATTCATGAGACTTTACCCATAAGCTTAAGCTTTTAGGTTGAGATGGTTCTATGACATATTCTTTCAATGGGCGACCTGCTAAGGATCAAGGGCGGGGGAATGAATAGTTTGGCAGTAGTTCTTGAATTTAAAAACCATAAAGTCTGCAAACCATTACTCATATGAATCACTGAACCCATTATGTAACAAAAAAAATAACGTAAGAAACAAAACCAAGATGTAGATGTAATGTTAACTCCTTGCATTATCTTAATGTTCAATAGAGAGAGAGGTAAAGGTGCCTTGCATATTACTGGATGAAAGCACACGTAAAACTCAACACAGACCTTACTCCTCACTTTTGGTTTTTTTCACTTGGCGGGGTGGAGAATGGAATGAACGACATGTTGAGATGCAGCCAAAAAATGACAAGTCCAAAGCTCATGAGGTACTTCATTGTATATGTAGAGACAACTTTAATAGCAAAATAGTCATAACTACTTCCTACGTCCCCCACCCCCCACACAAATGACAAAATCCCTTTTTCTTCTAGGACTTCCTTATCAATTGTGACTCTTATCTTTGTTAGATTTCAGTTTATGGGCTTGTGTACAACTCCGAACTATGATGAAATTTAAGTTTCTCTGAAACAAAATTTCCTTGTGGACCTCGACAATTAAGGCATGTAATTATACCAATACACTTAGGATTCATAATTAGATAAACATTGTGGTCAATAGAAGATACACCAGCGCCTGAGTTTGTGTGTCTTTGTCATGATAAAAAAAAAAAAAATCTTAGATGTAGGTCAAATAATTGATATTAGTCACTTTGACGATTCAATTGCGAAGTGCATCGAAGGACTGAAGTGAACAATTTCAGGACCCAGTTTACAAAATCCTGGGAATTAGGATTAGCGTAGAAGTACAGATCTTATTAGGCCACAAAAATCTATGATAGTAAGTTGCTAACATAAATTGTAGGCTACCAACATTCACACAGCAAGCTACAAATGAGCCAAACCTGGTGATAAAGGCAAGAAAACAACTTGATTTCTCGTAGTTCTGTGTGATTATTATAGACAAAGGCACATCTATAAATTCCAGATTTGCTGGAAATTTTTTGGGTATAAGCTTTTATTTTATGCTTTAGTCTCTTATTAGTCCCTAATTAAGAGATTTACATGGGAATAATAGGTAACAGGATAGTGGTTCTGGAAAAGATCTTCCTTTAAGAATTCAAGCCATTATGTTCCTTATTTAAAGTCTAATATGTAAATCTTTCGGAGGTTGTTGAGTCCATGAGTACCTATGCTTGTAAGAAGAGGTTTTTATGAATAAAATTTCCAGCCATAAGCTTTTAATTGAGTGATGCAATCTCCTCTTCGGTGTAACTCTTAAGAAAGTTAGTTGTGATGCTTAGGTTTTCAAAGATTCAGCCTAAAACCCCTTAAAGCACTGTTCGAGCTACCCCTAAAATCAGTACCAGAACAGCCCCCTAATCTGTCCCGCATCATCTGAGTGGTCTCATTGTTTATCCTAACGGTGACGATGCTCCAGCCTCGCAATTATTCATTCAAAATGCTTTCAGTCCAACCAGTGACTACCCTTAAAAGCGAGTTCAAGAAAATACCTCTCAAGGCAATCAAATTGCAACATGGTTTTTGCCTCATGTTAAGCATGCTGGATTCTTTTGATTGTGTGATGCAATCTTCTCTTTAGTGTAACTCCTAAGATAGTTGTGATGCTTAGGTTTTCAAAGATTCAGCCTAAGACACCTTAAAAAACTGTTCGAGCTACCCTAAAATCAGTGCCAGAACAGCCCCCTAATCTGTCCTGCGTCGTCTGAGTGGTCTCATTGTTTATCCTAATGGCGACAATGGTCCAGCATCGCAATTATTAATTCAAAATGCTTTCAGCCCAACCAGTGACTACCCTTGAAAGTGAGTGAGAAATACCTCTCAATACAATCAAGTTGCAACATGGATTTTGCCTATTGCTAAGCACGCTGGATTCTTTTGTCCATTAATCTAAAGAAATGTCATAATACAAATTATACTTTATGTAATTACTTCAATGGCAAGGAAAATGCATACTAAAATGTCAGTAAATCATGAAAGATAGCCCAATTTCAACATGCTGAACCATGTGAGCAATGCTTGTAGAGAACTGACAGTGCCAGTAGGGTAAATGTAGAACTTAAGAAAATAGATGACATACCTCATCCCACCCGATACCATATGCCAAAGGATTCTGTCTCATCCTGATAAAAAGATATGTGTAACCAAGCCATGCGCAAGCTTCCTTGACATTGGTAACAGTACCCAATGCCACCTCAGCATTTAAATTATCTTTTAAGGAGCTAACAAACTGCAAGCACAAAGGAAAAATCATAACCAATATGTGAACCAGCTATTTAACTATATAGAATCCATGCAAAAATGGAATAATTCTCAATGTACAATCAGAATATAAGATATTTTTAGCAGTACAACCACACAGAAAACCATATAAAAAAAACCCAGCATAAATCATTTGCATTCTATCCTGCTAAACAGAACTTATGAAATCAACAATAAATTTCCATCATCGCTTCAACCACAACAGATGGTCAGACCATCCAACTCTGCAGCAAATTCAGGATATAATATTTCAGTGCATCTTGCTTAATTATAAGGTTACCTTTTCCATGTATGCTTCATGCATAGCCAGAATGTACCCAGCATCTTGATTAGAAGTTTAATTTATTTAAGGGGATTATTTTATGACTAGAACCATTTGTAATATTTGCAACTAAAGTGGCTATACAGCTAGTGTAACTATCATCTAGCATTAAATGCCTTAACCATATGATGCAAGACAGCTTAGGGGGTTGTTTTGGATATGAGTTTGGCGGCTGTTTAGGGTTGTATTGGGTTGTATTATAGTGGGTTTCTACTGGGAATTGTGGAACTATTAGAGACACACTAATAGGGCTTCTAAGCGTCACACTGAGAGGATAGAAAAACCTAAGCTTCACACCTAGGGTTCTTAGGAGTCACAACTAAGGGAGATTGAGACACAATCAAAAACAAATTGCTGGGATTTTATTCATATGCCGTCATTCATAATATTGAAAGGCAACATAATTACTTATAGAGTTCTAGTAGTCCAAATCCAATAAGGAGTTAGATTCCTAAATGAGAAAATACTAAGTCTATGTAGAATAGAAAAAAACTAATAACGCTAATTATCCTTAGGACTAATAAAATACTAAGTAGAAAATAAAACCTAGACTTGGAAAATTTTACAGAAATTACAGAAATATCCTTGTCTACAAAAAGACAGAAGTTTTACTTCGTTTGTTGTCTGCATCACCTGATTAATAACCAAATTCACCAACAGAGCAACTACAAATCTACTAGAAACCAAGAGATGAAAATCTTCATTACACTTCAACAAATATAATATCAGATCAGATAACGTTGATGCATACAAAACACAACTTCATTTTGCAGACAAGCTACCCATAGAATTTTGTAACAGACATGGGAGATTAGACTGCAAAAATGCAAGTAAAACATACTCTATATTTTGTATTAAGCTACTCAAATAATTTGTATTGTTCCTAATGATCAGTGAAACAATCCAAACTTCAAACAAAAAGATGGTCTTCTGAATTGACAAGGGAATAAGATATCCAAGTTACCTACTCCATATTAACCCAAAACCAAATCACATTTAGAAACCCTAGCATACCAAGAATATGATTCTAACATTATGCTCGGACTCCCGAAGTCAAATTACAAATACCTACCTGACTTTCAATGGGAAGTTGACTTGTCAGCAACCTTAGATAGTACGCAAGTTTGTCATGAGATGTGATTATGATGCCTTCACCACTCTTGTCAAACTGAGGTCTCCCAGCCCTTCCAAAGATCTGTGACAGTGAAATCATGAGAACAGTAAAATCATCCCTATAATAAGCAAAAATGAAATTAGATACATTTCCTCTGAGTCTAACCTGCATAACATCAAGCATGCCTAGGTCACGCCACCCACCAGCCTTTGCATCATATAATTGGGTCCCCTAGAGAATGACATCAAAATGGTTAGATAGAAAGAGGAATGCAAATGAAAACCATATCAGAGATTTATCTAGCTAAAAAGGCTATCCTATGCATTGTATTTAGTTAGTGGGAATGAGCTATATTCTTTCCTATTTCCTATTCTATATATTTCTTCTATAGTTTCCACTTAAATAAGAAATATACACACAGTTGTATGTGTGATCTATTTATCATTTATAAGTCTTTGTATCTTGCATATATATCATTAGAATATATGACAGAAAGAAAATTCTGCATATTAACAACTTGGTATCAGAGCCTTGTTGTACAATTTTTTTCAAAACCCTAGCTGCAGCTGCTGCTCCTTCAGAAACCATAGCCATTGCTGCTCCTTTCTTCTTCTTCAGAAACCCTAGCCGTTGCTGCTCCTTTCTTCCCTAAAACACTAGTCACGCCACAATATGTCTACCAAACCTGAAGTTGCAAATGCTAACAGCAAGAAAACCTCCACCATAACCAGTCACAATGCTCCCTCATCCATCCATATGAAATTGGATGGTGCCAACTATCGAGCCTAGTCTAAGATCCTAGAGAAGCATATTGCTGGAAGGAAAAAGAAGGGCTATATCAATGGAAAAAAGGTTGCACCAACAGAAGATGATCCAAGCTATGATGAATGGAAGGCTGAAGATGCACTTGTCAAATCCTGGCTCATTAATTCAATGAGCGATAATCTAATTTCACACTGTGTGCAGCGTGGCATGGCAAAAGGAGTCTAGGATGCTGTGCAAAGTAGTTACCTTGATGTATCTGATTCTTCTCAAGTTTATGAACTCATGAAAAAGTCTTTCCAATCACATCAAGGTGCCCGACCTCTAGCAGAATATTACAATGAATTAAACTCAATTTTTATGGAGATTGATTACCAAAGGCCAAATGATATGACCTGTGCTGCTGATATTGAAAAATACAGCAAACGTACGACAGAAGATAGGTCTACATCTTTCTCGCTAGCCTTGATCATAACTTAGATAAAGTTAGTAGCCATGTTCTAGCTACTTCTCTACCAAGATTAGAAGAAGCCTACTCCTTGGTTCGTCGAGAAGTTCAACGACAGGTTACCATGAGGGCAAAAATCCACTCGGAAGCTTCAGCTCTAACTATCCAAAAAAGCAATTCTATAGCTTCTCAATCTCGATTTTGCATCCACTACTGTAAGAGTACACATATAGTTGATGTTTGCTAGAAGAAGCATGGCTATCCGGAACAACATAAACTCAAGCAAGCTGAAAGGAAAAACAAAAGTTCTACTCAGAATGCTATTGCCATAGATACTACTCCATCTTCTGCTTCTCATGTATCTCGAACATCTTCCCAATAAGGTAATTTTGGTTTATCCATCATTTCTACTTACCCTAACACTTGGATTATTGATTCAGGGGTCACTAATCATATGACTAGTAACTCTTCTATCCTTGATTCCCTAACATTACCACCAGTTAAGTCTGTACAGGTTGCTAATGGGAGCTCTATGCCAATCACAGGGACTAGAAATGTGTCTCTTTCTCCGACATTTTCTATGTTCTTTGTTCTACTTGCAACTAGACTTTCAAACAACCTGCTTTCCATTAGCAAGATAACAAAGAATCTCAATTGTTCTGTCATTTTTCACTCTACTCATTGTGTGTTTCAGGAAAATCTTACGAAGATGACGATTGGCATTGGTAAGGAGAGGGATGGTCTATATTATTTGGAGGACAATCGAGGCATAGCAGCACCTACTAGTGACTTCCAAACAAAGAAAAAAATCTGATTGAGAGAGAATTATGCTTTGGCGTAATCGGTTGGGACATCCATCTTTCTCTTATTTAGAACAATTTTCCTCAATTATTTTCCAAAATTCATCTTTCTAGTTTAAAATGTGAACAATGCATTTATGCTAAAAACCATCATGTTCCTTTTAAAGTCAGTTTTAATAAAAGCACTATAATTTTTTCATGCATTCATAATGACGTGTGGGGTCCTTTCACTCCTGCTTCAGGACATGAATATTTTGTCTCTTTTATTGATTACTGTACCAGGGTCAGTTGAGGTATATTTGCTAAAATTTAAGAGTGGTGTTTCCCACATTATTTTTCAGTTTTACAACATAATTCTCACCCAATTTAACACTAAAATTAAAGTTTTTCATTCTCACAATGATCGTAAGTTTGTGAATCAATTTCTTGCTAAGTTCATGACACAACATGGCATTCTTTCCCAGACAACTTGTGTTTACACAACCCAACAGAATGGCATGGCAGAACGTAAGAATCGCCATCTCCTTGAGGTGGCTCAAGCCTTGTGTTTTACCAAGCGTGTTCCAAAACATTTTTGGCTGCTGTTTTTCTTATCAATCGAATGCCTACTAGGATTCTTGATTTTCAAACTCATTTAAGGATGTCATCTAGATTTCATCCTATTCCATCTGCTCTTGATATTTATCCTAAGATTTTTGTTTGTGTATGCTATGTTCATATTCATTCTCTTCATAGGGAGAAACTTTATTCTCATGCTCTCAAATGTGTTTTCCTTGGCAATTCTAATTCACAAAAAGGATACAAATGTTTTCATCCTCTTACAGGAACCTATTATGCGTCGATGGATGTTCAATTCTATGAAAATGAGTCCTATTTTTCTGACGATATATCTATGATTCCTTTTTAGAGGGAGATTGGTAGTAAAGAAGAGGAACAACTATGATTGAGAGAAAAGCAAATATGGACCTCAGGTACAGATAATATTAAGGCAAATAAGGAATCTGTAGTTTTAGAAGATTCGTGTGTTGAGGAAAATAAAATTGAACCGGATGATGAGAGACCTAAGAGACCAACTTGTTTCTTTGAGAAGGGATATTCTAGTAGAAAAGAATATATCAACGTTCTGCCTCCTAATTCTAATACCTTCCTTGATAATACTAGCATGCTATCGGATGAATCTTCTAGGACTGACACTAAGGTATGAACCTATTCTTCCGAATCCTTTGAAAATTTCAATCTCAATTCCAATATTGATCAGAATATGAGATACCATCTTCGTAAAAGAAAAGCAACTGATAGATTCGGTTTCTCAAAAACCTTCAATGTTGTTTACCCAATCTCTGACTTTATATGCTATCACTATTTGTCTAAAACTAACTTAACATTTGCCCTTTAGTTGTTTTTTGCACCTATTCCTAGTCATTTTCAGGAAGCCCTTGAAAATCCTAAGTGGAACGATACAATGGTAGATGAATTGATGGCTCTTCAAAAGAATTCTACTTGGGAAATGGTCGCGTTCCCAATGGAACTATGGGGTGCAAATGGGTATACACTGTCAAATACAAGGCAGATGGGACGGTGGAGAGATACAAGGGTAGGCTGGTCACAAAAGGCTATACCCAAACCTATAGTATTAACTATCAAGAGACTTTTGCACCAATTGCCAAGATGAATACTGTCCGCGTCATACTATCACTTGCAGTTAATTTGGACTAGCCTCTACGACAGTTTGATGTGAAGAATACTTTCCTTCATGGTGATCTGACAGAAGAAGTATTTATGGATCCACTAAAGGGAGTATTTACGGATCCACTCCCAAGATTTACACTAGAAGAAGGAAAGATATGCAAACTAAAAAAGGCATTGTACGGATTAAAGCAATGACCAAGAGCATGATTTAGGAGATTTGAGTCATACAATGAAGGAGTATGGATTCAAGCAAGCCTTGGTAAATTATACCTTATTCTATAAGCATGATCATAATAATATTACCTTACTTCTTGTTTATGTTGATGATATGATTATAACAGGTAATAGCAGAGATGAGACTAAGAAACTTCGAAGCTATTTAACCAAAGAATTCAAGATAAATGATTTGGGGCTTCTCAAATACTTCATAGGTATTGAAGTCTCTCAATCTAAGCAAGGCCTATTTCTTTCCCAAATGAAGTATGCTCTAGATCTCCTAGCTGAAACTGATAACTCTGCCTGTGAGCCTATAGATACTCCTATTGAGGTAAATCATAGTCTGTCTATTTATCCTGATCAAATTCCAACAAACAAGGAGAGATATCAAAGGATAGTGAGAAAGTTGATCTATTTAACTCACACATGACCGGATTTAGCATATGCAATTAGCGTTGTGAGTCAGTTTATGCACAATCCAAGTGATCAACACATGAATGCTGTGAATCGAATTTTAGCTTACTTAAAATCAGCTCCAAGAAAAAGGTGTTTTATTCTCCAAACATGGACATTTTGATGTTGTGGGTTATATAGACTCTAATTTTGCTGGTAGTAGACTTGATAGAAAATCCACTTCCGAATATTTGTCGTTTGTTGGAGGCAACTTGGTGAGTTGGAGAAGTAAAAAACAGAATGTTGTTTCATTATTTAGTGCAGAAACTGAATATCATGCTATGCATCATGCAATCACTGAACTTTCTTGGTTGAAAATTCTCTTAGAGGAACTCGGGTTTGGTCCAAAAAACCCTATGGTGTTGTTTTGCAATAACAAAGCAGCTATTGAGACTGCTAATAAACTAGTACAACATGATCGAACTAATCATGTTGAACTTGACAGGAACTATATCAAAGATAATCTCGATTCTGGCACAATAGAGATTCCTTATACCAGAAGTTCAGATCAGTTGGATGACATTATGACTCGTGTTGTCACTAGTGGACCATTCTATACTTCGCTATCCAAGTTGGGCATGTGTGATATCTACGCCCCAACTTGAGGGAGAGAGTTAGCGGGAATGAGCTGTATTCTTTCCTATTTCCTATTCTGTATATTTCCTGTATAGTTTCCTCTTAAATTAGGAACATACACACAACTGTATGTGTGATCTATTTACCATATATAGGTCCTTGTATCTTGTACATATATCATTAGAATATATGAAACAAAGAAAATTAAGCATATTAACAACTTATTTCCAAAACTAGCCAGCAAGCAGGCACAACTTCAAGCACATAGCACTACAGTCAATGCGTTTTCTCTTCTTAATTGATGTTACTTTGATATATGCTTCACTGAACCGCATGTCATGTGAGATGCTGCATGCATGTCAATTCAAAGGTTTTAGTCCACCTAATAGAAAGGAAATTTTACTTCCAATGTGATTTATACTTTTTGCAAAGGAAAGGCTCACTCACTTATCTAACTAATATGACGCCAAATGTCTTTTAAGTTGTGAATTTCAAATAAGAAGCAAATGAATTTAAGATATGGAAAATTTTACATACACTCAGATTGATCACTTTGTCTATGCTTGCAGCTATGGAAAACGATTGCAAAAAGGATTAAATTTCAGCAACAGTAAAACCAATGAACATATATGACATGATAATGAGCACAAACCTTAATCACAACAGTGTGAGCAGGTAGATTTACACCCCATGCCAAAGTTGCTGTGCAAACAAGTACCTGGAACAGAAAATAACCTAATTTTAGCAAAGATGTTGGGCAACATTTCCAAAGTGCAAAGCAGAACACTCTACCTTCAAAAATCCATCAGAAAAAAGCCTTTCGGTCAGACCTCTGTCAGCTCTTAGCATCCCAGCATGATGAACACCAACCCCATTTCCAAAGAGTTCAACAAGATCTTTGTTTCTGGACTTCATGACTTCTTTCTGAAATTCACAAATTTGAAAACTATTAATATCATAAACCCCACACGCACCAAGAATGAAAAACAAGGTACTTCAGTCCATCACCTTGATTAAGGCAAACTGTGGATGGTCATCATTTCTTAAGAGCTCTAAATCGTCATTATTCCGGGCAAGTTCAACCTGTTCAACATAATGTTAACAACTATGACTATGCACTAATATTGGTCAAAAGATACACATTCTCCATGTGCATCTCTGGAGCATAACGTTGTGTTTCCATGACTTAATGAATATTGAGTTTAGACATCAATAAGACAATCCACACATCAAAGGGTTGCGAGATCTGTTCCTTAATTTGTTTATTTATCTTAGTCAAAAATTGACTGCATTATTAATGAGAAAGGATGTACATGACACATTTCAAGATAGCACATCCTCCCAACCAGCCAACAAGATAATCAAACGGAATATAAAATAGCACTCCAATCTTGCTCAATGTCACAATATAACATCCCCAAATCCTGAAGCTGAACGCTGCAAAGATGCAAACAGTATCATATCACAAGACAATTATCTGAAGGAAAAGTGATCCTTAAAAACTATAGCATTTCTCTCTATCCAAACACATCATATAACTGCAAAATGGGGTTGGTCGTGCAGTCCTGTAATCTTTCATACAGATACCCATGAAACAAACTGGCAACAAATCTAACATCCCACCCAAGATCACCCGAGACTCACCTTCAATGTCAAATAGCCTACTCTACATGTCCCACACTTTTGACAATGGAGAACCATAAGGCTTTGAAAATTTCCACTTCCATAGAATTGCAAATGTTAAAAGACGAAGACCAAGACTGTCACCTCCACCTTATGAAGGCTCCTAATATGCAACAAGTAATTAATATTAATCTTATTAAGAACCACTGTCTAGATAAAAGGCTTAACTTTGGAGGCACAGTGGCTTTCCAAGAATCAGAAATTTAGGTAGGTATGGAAATTAAGAAAAATGAGACAACAACAAACAGATTTACAAGAAAACATTACCAATCCCTCTAAACACCATACTCTACCATCAACAGTCCAAGGAGGGGGGAAAAAGAGGATGGGAAGTAAGAGGAGGCTATGAGTTTCTTCATAAGATTAAGATTTAGATAAATGACATTGTCATCTTGCATATCTATAATACAATAAGGACAGGATCATGCAAATTTTATCATAATATCATCATTCATCAGTTGTCATAATATCTTGTCTCATCCAAAAGATCAGTGATAGTTTTGGTGTCTGAATGTAAGTCAGTCAAAGTAGCTGTGTCGCCACCCAACCCCCACCCCACAACACCCAAAAAAAAAAGAGAGGAAAGGAAAGGAAAGTCTGTGCATGTAATTGGCTGATAAAAAACCATAAAAGAGGATAATTTCTTAGTGGAATGCACGTCATTCACCAGCAGCAGAAGACAAAATAGATCTTAAGCACATGTAAATATCAGCAACAAAAATTTTGAGGCAAACATAAAATGCATGCAGGTGTATTGTGAAAAAAAATAACAGAAATAGAAAACTGCAGAACCAGTCGTATCAAATAAGAATGCAGTCCAGGCCAATCAATCTAATCTAGCAAGTACATGTCAACAACATTTACCACCACTAACTGTTATAAATAAACATCACAATTTAAAAACCACAACGAAGAATGTACCAGTTTCTCAGCCGTTTTTACTGTATCCTTCCTTGAATGAACAAATACCATTGCTTGATGACCTTTCTTTAATGAATCAACAACCTGGAACAAATAGTACCAGTGCTCCAATAAATTTTCAGCCTAAAGACTAATAAACCGCCAAAAGTCCACCTAGAGACATACCTTTTTATAACAGATTTCATTCAGCAAGTCATTGCGAGCTGCAAAGTTCTGCTCACTAATTCCAATATACTGCTGGGCAAGAGGCACAGGACGATAACTAGAATCAAAGAAGAAGAGACCTGTCTCTGGACTCACTCTAAGAAATTGAGCAACCTATGAACATTCAAGAGTAGAGATTTAAAGATTTGGGCTATAGAATTTGAATATATACAAGCATCGACTATATTGTAGAAAAGACCTCCAAGTAGTTGGGTAGAGTGGCTGAAAGTCCTACAATGCGTATCATTGTCTGTGTTGACTCCACCTGTCACCCAAAACAGGAAAAGGAGAAAGAAAGAAAAGACTGATCAGTTCTCCACCCACTCATACATGTAACCAAATCCAACTGCAATTCTCGTGCATCACCAAAGCATTCAGATTAAACTGTTGGGCTTTATAATGATATTAAAGAAATAGATTTGAGAGAATGACATAGTGGAGTAGCATCAATTACAAATTAACCAGCGCATATATATATATATATATATAAAATCCCAGAGATAATTTTTTTACTATGATTGTTTTACTACATGATGTGGTGGAATATGATTGGTGATTCATTAATTAACACATTCTATAATTATCAGTGCATCACTAAATGTTATAAGATCCATATTCTAGGATTTGAAAAGCTTTCCCTATAGCAAATGCCACATCACTTAGTAATAAAGATTTTGTAAAAAAAATAAATTCAGACACACACACACACTCAACCTTTAAAATATGAAAATTACATTTCAGTCCTTACTAAAATAGTCTCAACAAAAAACAAATCAAGGAACTAAGGCATACAATTTGCAATGCTGTGGTTATAATACACAAAGCTATCAAGGGAGGAAAAAAAAAAGGACAGTGTACCATTTGATATAGAAACAAGGCCAAAACGCAAAGAATTTGATAGAAATAATCCCACAGATGAACATGAATCATAGGGAAGTACTTTTCAAAAATACACTGCAATGATGATTCAGCAAAATTTCACCTGTCGCAGAGTCCTGGCAACTAGTGCCTCTATCACAGGGCCTCTATCATCATTCAAAAGATGCACTTCATCAATGATTAAGAGCTTCACCAGCATTGAGAGAGACATATCACTGCTCTTACGAGTGATGACATCCCATTTCTCAGGAGTTGTCACTATCATCTGATTCAAAGAAACTCAAAGAGAGAAACAATTATAGGATATATACGTAAAAAGCAAACAAAATTTGAAAGAAATGCAACCTGAGTCTCTTCAAGTTCACTCTTAGATAGTTGCATGTCCCCAGTAAGTTCTCTCACAGTCATGTTCAATGGAGATAAGCGATGGCTAAATGTTGATGTGACCTCCGCAGCTAATGCCTAAAAGAACCAAAAAGTAAATAACAAGACCAACCCCCCCCCCTCCAAAAAAAAAAAAAAAAAAAAAGACATGGACAATAAATGTGCTAGAGGTGGGTTATACCTTCATAGGAGCAACATAAACTATCTTAAATTCATCTTTGTGCAAGTACCCATCCCTGAAGTGCTGTCCAATCTGAAAACATAAATAAATAAAAAAGAAGAAGAAGCCAATTAAATAAATTTAAAATATATATATATACGTCATCCTGTGCAGTATTTTAAACGACACTTTTCAATGGTTTAAGAAAGATGAAAAAAATAATATATATAAAAAAAAAAAAAAGAACTTGGATATCAACAATAACACCATAGGATAAACTTCTAAGCAACCAATAACTTAGTCAAGAAGAAAAAACAACAAAAGAATAGAATCTTCCATATGAATATGATTAAATTCAAAGGTAACGTATCCCTGATTATCAAAAGAAAAAAAGGTGATATATCTAAGAGGCATTAAAAGTGATTTATCCCACTCATGTCGCATCATATAGCCCCTCCTGTAATCATAACTATAAAGCAGTCTGCCTAAAGTCTCAAACCAAAACACAAGACAGTAAGACACTTTATAAGCCCATTGATGAAATACCTCATGTAGAATAGAGATCATAGCTATATTTGTTTTGCCAGCTCCTGTCGGGGCACAAACCTGCATATACATAAAAACTTCAGACATTCTAAAAGCAATCCTTCTTGCAACGAATTTTAATATATGGTTGATCGTGCTTTATAACAAGCAGTGAGCAAAATCCATATTTTGTTTTGCCATCAAGAAAAATCCATGTCTTCTGCTGGATTTCACCATTGGGATCAACAACCAATTGTGTCCAAAAACACCTAAAATTCTTCAATTCATAGGTTCTTAGAAATCAAATTTTAGTCTCAGATTATCATTTTTGATATCATTTGCTCCCTCTTTTGATTATTCTCAAGCTATTCAAAACATAAATGAAGCTCAAATTTTTGACCATGCCACTGTCCTTTTAATTGCAAAGTCACCATTTCCTCTTTCTACTTTAACCTCCCCCACCCCCCCCCCCCACCCCAAAAAAAAAAAAAAAAAAAAAACCCACCACACATATTAAGCCGTTAAAGTTTGCAATCCTACATCTCTAATTTATTCACCCAGATAGAAGAATGAAAAATGACTATATTTAGAGACTGAGACTAAAAGTAGAGGCATTCTATGTGCTAGGGGTCCACAGACTTGAAATGAAAGAAAATAATGTAGTAATACATGGCTTTACATAACTGACTACCATAAAAAAAGGCTTTGTAGGTCAGGAATATATAATTAAACTGGTTGCAAATAAGATTAAAAGAAGTGAAACAACAGAATAGGTTACTCACAAGTATATTCTCGTTAGTGTAATAGACAGTTTGAAATATCTGGCTCTGTATACGGTTTAGAGATTTATAGCCATGAAAAGCAGCTTGAGCAAAGTCATCCAACTCCTTTATCTCAATCTAACGAAGTATCATGATGACAGATATATTGTCAGAGACAAATCAACATCAATGAGCATACTAATAGAGTAACAGCAACCTTCCTGGAACAAGCAATGCAGAGAAAGAACAATACACAGAGCAACACTGGGAAATGAGAATTATGCAGTAAGTGTTCCACAACAGATCATCATATCCACCCTAAATAGAGACACCATTATCACAAACTGTCCTGTCACTAAACAACTTTTATCATGCACCCCCCAGAGAAACATACTACTTTTATCATGAATCTTATGCACAAGAAGTCGCACAGATTTCATTTAGCTGCCACAAAAAGCTTCTGAATCCTTGATAACTGGCCTCTCTAGGAAAAAGGCCCCCAACTTACAACCTGCACCTCCTCCAATGCATCCTTACTGTAGAACTTTTCTCCTGAGTCCTTATCAATGCATGCAACCAAAATCCAGAAAATATCTTAAACATGGCAAAAATGCTTCTGGAGAGTGTTTCAGTTGTAATGTCATTAATGATTAATTATGTGTGACAAATCACCAGCTTCCATATCTGTGGTGAAGTGAAGAAATCTAGGAGTTCAGAACCGTTAAAGTTTCTTAAGAGTTTAGAAAGTGATATCTGGTTTCTTCAACTGTCTATCCTTGGAAATAACAAGCATCTATTCTTCAAATCAAACAACCACTGGTCTTGCAAATCGGTGATTACTCTTAGGATCTTTTTTTTTTTTTTTTGCGAAAATGGGGAAAATGAATGGCAATCAACTTCTCTTGACAGCTTGAAGCTCAAACATTTTCCTCTATATCAATAAAGTTTGAGAAAGGAGGAGGGTAATCATAAATTGGTTCATAGAGCTATCAAATGGACCTAGATTAAGAAGCCAACATGAAGTTTGACCAGAAAACAAATGGAATGATTCCTCTCATCATCAATACCAATGGTCTAAATGACACAGTGCCCTCCAAAATTTGTAACAATCGTCTCAACATTTGTTTCTAGACATAATAATATGCAAAGACAATTGGGTCTTACTTCAAATATCTTATTTTGCCAGTCAATGATTACCACTCATTTCTTTTCTTTTTCTTTTTTTTTCCTTTTTTTTGGTGCTGAAAACACATTTGAAAACACCTTTAGTCCCAATATCACCAACAGGACATACAGTTATCACTATTAAGGAAACTATCAGTAAGAATTAATACACAGGATTATCTTCAGAGTCAATCATGAAAGAGATTAATCTACATCACAAGAAATTACCAGCTTTTCTCCAGGTTTCATTTCTGCAGTTGGTGTTGGGGGAATAATGACTTCCTCATAGCCCTTGTAATGTTTCCTGACACTACCTTGAGGAAGAGCAGTCACTGACAACGAATAGGGCCCTGGTCCAGACCCAATTAGATTGTCAAATGGGCTTTTTCTCTCACTTGCTTGAAGTAAAGAAGAAAAACTCGCAACTGATGCATCACTCTCAACTCCATGTTCTGTTCCGCGTCTATTCCGCTTTTCTTCCTTGCGCCGAAGTTTATCGATTTGCTTCGCAGATTCTGTTTGGATGGTAACCTAAAAATAGAAGCTGATATGTCACTACCTGCAGATAAATTGAAGACATAAATTTATAACTCTGTTTGTACCTGGGTGCCATAACTAGGCATGCGCGATTGAGTGTTTGAAGCCTTTTTTTCTGACTTCAGTAGAGACAATCCACGATGGATAGCATCAACAAGTTCCTTGCGGTGCTGGAAAATAAAAGTGATAAAGGATTTCAAATACAGCTCCTGAGAAATAAGTTATAGATTCGTTTGACATCAAGCAATCCAATAATCAAAAGAGATAGACAGACAGGGAAATGATAATTTAAGAAATATAACATATTCATTATTTCCAATCAAATTTTTAAACCGATTTAGCATGCATTTCTCACTGATAAAAATACCAGAAACCCAGAAGAGTAATGTCATAAAAAAAATACAGGTCATGATTGCTTAAAGATGACCAAATAGAGAGTCTCAATCCAGTGGAAGAGATTACATTGATTTCAGTTGAAATTAATCTATAATAACCTTCTGTATAATATAGAACAGTAACTTTCTAACTCCTCAAGATAGCATCATACATCATATCAGCAAATAGAAACGTATTTCATGATTCACTAGATAGTTAAGTGAAACTAGAGCAATAGTTAGCATACCAGTATAAGGTCTTGTACAGTTTCGAAAGCACTATCGCCAACAAGATCCAATAAATCACCAGCTATCTAAAAGGCTCAAAAGTAGTAAATAAGATTATGTAGCCATGCTAAAAATCTGCATCCATAGCTTATGAACATAATAGCTATTGACCAGTACCTCCTCACCGGGCTTGTCTGAATCAAGTACACGGCATATAGCCATTGCCAGATCATCTTGGGAAAGCTGTGAAGTACTTTCTCTTACTATCTGGTCACATGCATCTCTTAACCAACTTAAATCGAAATTTCCACCATCAGTAGTAGAATGATTTCGTCCCGGGTCACTATGATCATACCATCCATCATGAAACATAGAAGAAGGTGCAAGACTTTCCTCATCCAACATTTCCCCATCCTCCAAACTAGCATCCACCAGAAACCTAGCTGGCGCTAGGAAAGCAAAGTCAGCACCAAACTCTAGATCATCCCCACTCCCATCTACATGACTGTCTACAATAAGTGCCGCTCCAGAGTTTCTTGGTTGCAAACCGCAAAGCCTCCGTGCTAGAGAAGCAACTTTCTGTAACTTAGCATCTGAAACTGCATGACCAATAAGTTTCTGAAATTTCGACCTACATGCGAACGTCAATTACTGTAATCACAACTGCTGAATACAGGTCACCATCTTATTATTCTAATTATAAAGCATAAACAAAATCCGATGCACACAACTCACAGACACCAGACTCAAAAGACAATAAAACAAAACAAAAGTGTTTCTATTGATGTTGGAAAATCAAATTCTTTACTTCTTTTGGGTAAAGTTGCTGTCCACATTCTCCTCTTCCCCAAATATACGATAAACAGTCAATACCACCTCGCGAAACTCCTCGGATTGCACCTCTCCATCTATCAACTCCACAACTCCTCCAATAAATTGCCTGTAAGCTTGTCGCACTTCGGTTGAGGCTGCTCCATAAATTCCCAATCAACTTTAAAATCATCTTATTATTAAATACTACAAGAAATTCGTATAAATATTTATACGACAAACAGTACCTTCTTCCCATCCATCAACAATCTTCCTCGCAAGTTCTGATTCATTGAGCGAGCTTGCAGTACTGATCAAGCCAAAAAAGAAAAATCAACGATAAATTTAAAACAAGATTACTTCAATTTAGGAACAAAAAGAAAAGGTACTGTGTCATACTTGTTAGGGTTCTTGAGGAAGTTTTGAAGGATGACTTTTCTCTGGAGATAGGCTTGGTCGATGTCAAATGGGTCTCTGAGAGAGCTTGTCAACCGAGGAAGTTGCATCAACATTGTTTCTTGTTTTTTTCTTTTCGTTCTTGGACTTCCAGTTATGTTGAAAATCAGTGGAATTCAATCGAATTCAGCTCTCTAGATTAAAATTATTGATTTGGGAACTCAGATTAAATTCAGCCCTACTGAACCGCAGTCCGCAACACAGAAGGAAAAAGTAAAGGAGAGATGTCGCTTCTACAATGCCTTGGTTATCAGAAATTTTATAATATAATCTTTACTCTATGAACTAACTCATAGAATAAAGATAGAAAGATAGATACATAAAAAAATTAGAAAAATTAAGATAATGTAAAAAAAATTTTATCATTTTTAGTGGATCTGAATGTAATTTTATATGTTTATTTTTCTATTTTAAATAGATCCATAGTAGTAACTATCGTACATACCACTAGTTATTCTTTATATGTTATAAAATTTCTCCTTTAATTATTTATTCCCTTTTTCCATATATCCAAAATTATAAGCCTTTGGATCATTTCTAGAGCGATCTGAACCACTCAATAAAATTCCACGGTAACTTATCATCTTACATAATAAAATAGAAGAATTATTTAATATACGAGGTATTAAGGAATTAAGAAAAAAAACTAAAACAACCGGAATGTTAACTATTTATCACTTTTCATTTAATGTAGGTTTTTTTTGTGATTTATTTTTAGACTTTGAAATAATATGAAAATTAAATTATTTTTTATGTTTTAGTTCTTGATATTGTTTTGTTTCGATCCATATCTTCATTTAATGATATATTTTGATACTTGAGTATGGAGAGAAGGGAGGAAAGAAGAGTAAGAAGAGAGGAGAGAGAGCGCTCGCCAACCTTATTTAAGCTATTTTGACGGACGAAACTCCATTAGATTTTTTTATCTTTGAGAAATAAGTTTGTTCATGGTGATTTTAAGCTATTAAATAATTGAAGGATTTAGATCGAAGCAAAGAAAGAAAAAAATTCCTATTTGATATGCGTTAAAATGATTTTTAAGGTTTTAAAAGTGTTTATTGACTTTATTTCAATTATTTAGAGATGTTTGGCGAGGGGAATAACGCCAAAATTGAGTTTCTTGGGGTCCGAAAATTAACTCTGTGATTTTTTTATGAAGCTTCCAATGAGCTTGAGTTTGTAAAAAATTATATGTTTTTCTTTCTTTTTGTGTGTACGTGTCCGTGTCTCGTGTGCGTGGTGGGGGGAGGGGGCAAGCTCATGCAGCCCCAGGGCATGGGCCCGAGCGACCCTACCCCCGGCTCACAAGCTCGCACATGCGAGCCCAACTCGCTCCAGGCTAGCCTAGTTGCACATGCATGACCTTTTTTTTTTTTTCCTTTTTTCTAATAATTTATTTTTATACTTTTTATCATGAAATTAGATGTGAAAATATAAAAAATAGATCATTTTTTTTTTTTAGTTTTAAGTACAATTTGACATAATAGAATATATGTAATATTTTTTAAAATTTTAGTGTGTGTGTGTATGTGTATCTCATTATATTGCTCTTATTGTTTAAAATTTATGTCTTTAGTTGTTTGTTTCTTATTAAAATTCTCATCAAATTAATTTTTTAATTTTTTGATATAATTTTGTTTGTTAATAAATTTGATTTTTTTATGAATCGATTTTGAAATAAAATTTCAAAATGTGATTATTTTATTTTTTAAAATATATTATTATAATTTATATGATTGATTATTGTTATAATTTTTAAATGAGAGTAGCGTAGTTACATATATAAATTCGATGAGCGAGAAAGAGAGCTAAAAGTGTGTTTTAAATCATTTCACTCAATTTTTTTAAAAAAAATTAATAATGAGTTTAAAAAATTAACAATTTTTTTAAAATAATAATTAGTTAAAAAAGAATTCATAGGTTTTATTTGTTTATTTATATATATATATAATCGAACTTATCGAAATTAACTTTGTAATAGATTTTATTTAAATATATTCACATCAATATATCCATATGATTTAGGTGGGTTTTTTTTGTATATATATTTTTTTATTCTATATATTTTGAATCTAATATATATAGATATATATACTATTTACTATAGTGTCTTCACGTGTTGATGAACGAGTAAGACGCCGAAAGCAATTTTGACTTTTTGTGTCACGTGGGATGAACGATGATGATCTTGTGAAAATTTTGCTTCGGAGATAAGCTGTTTTGTCGACGGATAGGAAATGCCGGGAATGTGCAAGTATTGTCATGGAGTTCACGGGTGGTGAAGCTGGGAAAAGATACCATAGCGAGTCGTCTTCGTTATTATTTCCCAAATCTAGCATGGGTTCGATGCGGAATGCGAAGCTGCTATTTGCGAGGATTTTTGTCCGTTACGAACAATTTCATCCATGATAGCAAAATAGGCTTCATCATCAAGAGCGGTACGCTAATCCGGCATTGGCGGTAGATCTTGGAATGGAGGTTCCGATTCTTGGATAGGGAGGTTATCGAAAAAGGAATATGACCATGTTTTTGTAACCAATGGAAGATAGGGGTTTGTGATAGAGAGGAGGGGATATAGTAATGATCCCACCATTTGACTTTAAATCTTCTTGTCAAGATCAAAGTTTGTTCCTAATGACGGGAGTCATAATACCAAGAACGGACCTAGGGAACAAAGAATTTTGTACAAAAAAGGAAAAAGGGAGACCATCTTTTCTCATGATCCGTAGGTTTATAATTTGTTTTGAAGATTTTGAAGCTTTCGAAAACACTTGGTACAAGTATTTCGGGGATAGCTCCAAAAAGGACCATCATCTGGGAAAACCACATGGGAATGCAATCGGGATTAATGGTTTTGGCAAAATGGATTAACCATGAATGATTACCTTTCTTATTTTGTAAGAGGAAAGTATTGAACCGAGCCTGCTGGTAATCCCAATAGGAAAAAGACTGGCGAGGTCCGAACGGGATTTGAAAGATTTAGGAAATGAAATTGGGTGAGAAAGGTCATTAGGAAATTTCCAATCGGATGGAGGAATAATTTCAAGAATACGACAAGTAGAGTAGGCGGTTTCGTTTTGTCCGGTGTTGGATAGTGTTTGAATGTGGCGGATTCGAGATGGATAAGAATATCTTCATAGTACCATGGAGATTTGGTTAAATCCCAAGGCTTGTAATGCCAACGATAACCAAAATACTTTTCCACGATCAAGGCTGGGTTTTCAAAAAAGTATCCTTTTTCAATGGTGAAAATATTTTGTAAAGATAGTTTTAAGAAATACTTTGATGCAAATTTTTGGAAAATTGGTTTTATAGGAATGATTTGAGCTTTTTGTGAAGACGTAATTAAACCCAAAAATTTTGGTTTTGAAATAGCGAGTTAGTGGAGAAGGCCCTGTGGAGGGTAATGCAGGGGAATTCGAAGATTCCTAAGAAAGGGGTTTTGTAGAGGAAGAACCTTTCTCCGATTTTTGAAAATAGAGCGGGAAGCCATACCCGAGATGTTTTGCAAGGCCAGCGAAGTTCAGTCTGGTTTGATAGTTTATTGACCCAAGTATTAATGGATTGGGTGTGCATAGGAATATCCGGGTTTTTTGGTGAAGAAACACTAGCCGAGAGATGATGGGTTTTGTGGAAGAGAAGGGGTTTGGGTTTTCTTGTTCGGGAAAAGGGGTTTTTCCCTTTATCTTTCTTGGCCATTAAGCCCTGTTTTGCGAAATTCTCTAGTCAAGAAATCGGGAATATAATTTTGTTCTCCTTTAATAAATTCAATGTCAAAATAAAAAATACTAAGAATTGCTTGCCGACGGGCAAAAATTTGTTTTAAAGCAATGTTTTGAACATCCTTTTGCAAAACTTTTTTAGCGATTTACAATCAATACGAAGAGTAAATTTTTGATTGAGTAAATCACTTTGAAATTTTTGAATGCACATGACAATGCTGAGTATCTCTTTTTTAATAGTGGAATAATTTTTCTAACAATCATTCCAATGGGCGAGGTGAACTTGGACAATTTTTTCTTGACCATCGGACACTTGTTTTAAAATCCCACCATATCCTCGAGGCATCGGTTTCAACTATCTTAGGTAAGGAAGGATCTGCTAAGTGAAGGCAAGGGATATTTGTAACTCGATTCTTGATCCGTTGCACTATGTGGGTGTGTTCATCGGTCCAAGGAATAAGTTTCTTCTTCAATTTATCATGCGGAGGTTTTGCAATACGGTTGATGTTTGGACAGAAATCTAAAACATAATTCGAACTTTCTAAGACCTTTGTAATCGGGTTTTGTCTAGAATTTTATCGGGAAATTTGTTTGCAAATTCTAAGGATCTTTCGATAGGAGAAATTGTTCCTTGGGTAATGTAATGACCTAAGAAAAGAATCCGAGTTTGGAATAAAGAAATCTTAGATTTAGAAACGACCAATCCATTCTTTTTTGCTATATGGAAGAAGGTTTTGAGATGCTTAAAATGTTGTTCTATAGACATAGAATAAATAAGCACATCATCAATATAAACAATGCAGAAATCGGCATACATATGGAAAATATCATTCATAATCTTCCGGAATTCGGAAGGGGCATTTTTCAATCCGAAAGGCATGACCTTCCATTCATATTGCCCAAACGGGACGATAAAGGCGGTTTTGTATCTGTCATTTGGGGTTATCCGGATCTGCCGAACCCCGACTTCATATCAAATTTTGAGAACACAAATGCACGGTTTAATCTTTGTAAAAGGTCCTTTTTATTAGGGATAGGGTACCTAATCCATTTAAGGGTCTTGTTCAAAGGTTTGTAGTTGATGACTAACACGGGGGTTCCTCTTTCGATCTCGGCATTTTTATTGACATAGAAAGTCTGCGCAAGACCAAGGAGATCCGGATTTTTAGATACGACCTTTGGTTTTTAAATCTTGAATTTCTAACCTATAATGTTTTTCTAGGTCGGCATTCATCCGAATAGGTCCAGCTTTGGTAGGGATTTGTCGATCATCAAATTCTTTCTCATAGGGTAGGTCAACACTATGGTTTTTCCTATTCCGAGAAAGCATTTGG